AATATGCCCCGCGTTTCCGCAACGCTCGAGAACCGAAACGTTATAAACGGCCGGATTCAAACCGCACGCAAGTCAGTATCAATCATCGCAGTCGATCATATCATTCATCAGGAAGATCAGTCAAAACAACTTCCGCCAATGCAAGTGGACGCATAGTGGATCGGTAAAATATTTTCTAAAAATATTTCGATTAATAAGCAACGTTGACCTTTTCCTCCGAAATGAAATTTGATGAAGATTCGTAGAACGAAGAAAAATAATTTTAACATCCCAGTTTTAATTTTGATGATGTTTAAATTCAGCTCGTTGAACGAGAGCGCTTCTTAAAATTACACTCAATGCCTTAAATAAAGAATCATTTCAGTAATACATATTTGAGAGCATTATTATTATTTAATTTCAATAACGATCGGTATAAGAAATGTGCGTATTTCTTTGGAATATTATTTTATTGTTATATATTCACTGTTTTACATTCACAAAATAAAAGAGAGAAAAAGTTACATTATCTATTTGAGATTCTTTCGGTGTTTTGGCATCTTTTTGTGCGGCAAAGTAATCGAATGTCAAAGAGAATAAAAAAAAAAAAAAGATTGTGAGACCTAAACTGAAAACCGAGAGAAGGATATTTTCCTCCTCTCAGAGTTCTATCCTTCGCCGAAAGTTGGATATCATCATGGCTATTCTAATCGCGCCGACAGCTGACTTAAGCGGGTCATCGAGGCTAATGAATCGTTCGGGAAGAGATCGACGACGCGGAAAAAGAAGCAATCCGCCATCTGGATCGCTGATGATCTTATAAGCCGACGCGGTATGTGCTTGTTAAGTCATCGTCGCGCGATCAGTAGACCCCGCGGAATCGTATGCGAAATGCGCGTGCATTACTTCGATACGATGCGACTTTTCGTTTCTTCGAGTATCCGTAGAGAGAGAACAGTCCGTGATTAAATCGTAAGTGTTCGCGAAACACTCTTTGTGACACATCGAATGTGCACGTGCACATACACATATACAGAGTGCTAAAAAAATTAAATATATAATACAAATTGTATTTGTGCAAATTTTTCGCGGTTGATTCTTTTTTAATAAATATGGTTTTACGTGTCGACTTTTTAATTTTCGCGTAAAATAAATTAGTAAAATTATAAACGTTTCATTAAAATTCCTTTTCAATAAAATATACGTGAAATTAAGTAAATTCACTAAAAAGGAAGCTCTCTTAAATTTACATTTAAGTAAAGTTTTCAATCTCCAGTAGAATGTCAAAGTCTGTATATGTAATTTTTCAACGTCTCGTACAGCATGTTTGGTGACAGATACATTTGTTAAACAGATACATTTGTCGAGAAAGATGCACGTCGAAAATTCTAACAATCCTTTTGCATTAATTTTTTCTCCATAAATAGATAGAAAGCTGCAGTAACCGTGTCTGGCCTCGTGGTTGGGAACATTAAAATTTTCATAACGCAAGAAAAATGAGAGTGCAACTACGACAGATAAGAATCGCATTTAGTTTGATAGTACTGTTATCTATATTTGAGTTTTGCATGAGCAACAACGACACCTGGACCAGGAACCGCGATAGGAAGATACGCGTAATCAAAAAGTTGAAGAAGGATTTCCGGAAGTTGAAGAAGCAGGAGGGAGCATTAAAGCTGATAGGAGGCGAAAATGGCGATTACGAAGGTGCTATATTTAATTATTTTTACATGAGAGATTTAATCCTTGAAAAATTGAAGAATAAAATGACGACGAGAAATATCATTAAGGAAAAAATTAATTTACAATTTATTAACAATTTATCTTATTGTGCGAATAATAAATAATAAATAGTAATATTAATACTAATAATAATGAAGAGAAGGCTCTATCGTACAAAAAAAAAATTTTGTCGGGTATCGCATAAAGTTACGCGGAACAAGAGAACTTTATTGCTCAAGTCGGATCAATTGATGCGCCAATCAATTACGTACAGCATCCTCTCGATCTTTCTTACCACGACAGACCGATGCGGCGAGTGTATCGATTGCGTACCGCAACCAGTGCGCCGCAAACCGGCGCGTCGTTCCGCGACGCATCTCGTCTCGTAAATCCGGCCGGGATAAAAGCTCGACTCTCGTTCGGGGTTGATATTTTCCCCGCGATAAAGCGCGACTGCAATATAAACGGGTTATAAATCTCACTCTCTACCTCTCTCTGTCTCTCGCGAAGATGGAGAACAAAGCGCGAGTTTTATCACGCGGTTGTGCAAGTCCCGCGCGCGCGTGCACGATGACGATTAAAAAGGGGTCAACTCGAGGAAGATTTATGTCAACGACTATTTGTCAGAGCATATATGCAATTCCGGGAATCAGTTGCCGGATGGCATGGTCACCGTAAAACCAGACTGTAAAATAGGGTCACGATCCAGGACGCCGACCGGTTTGCCGGTTTACTCCAAGTATATTGTCATTATTAAGACAGAAGGCCGCGCGTCACGTTTTTCCGCACGATTTTCTTCCTGTGTGTAACGCGACTTTTATTGAGTCGAGCATATCTCGGTATATGATATGACGCACAAACTGTTATAGCTAAAGTCTGTTATAACTAAAGTGTTCGCACAAATCAACCAATATGACATGGTACCGATTTTAAAAATCATTGATAATGACATATATTAAAAGATATTATTTCTAGCAATATAAATATATTCATATAAGAAATATTGAGCATCTTTTCTTTATTTAATTTGTATTAATTAAAATTATATATATATCAATTAAAAATTTATATAAATTGCGTGTTTATATGCATATAATATAATATAAAATATATCTTATTTTATTTAAAATATCAATTTTTTAGTGACATGTTAAACGTTTTATAAATGTCATCTTGATATTGTGTTATCGGGATGTAATGCTTTCCGTAGCAAGTCGGAAGTTTGTAAATCGATCATTTCCTCTTTGTTGGACCGAGTTGCCGCAACAGGAAAAACGTAAGCACGAGATTTTATTGCTTTATATGCACAGGAAACGTGGAAATACTTCACGATGGAAAGTGGGGCAGTATATGCGACGATGAATGGGACGACTTGGAGGCACGTGTGGTTTGCAGGCAATTAGGCTTCAACGATGCAATTAAAGCGACGACATACGGCCACTTCGGTCAGGCCAGAAGTGAGACGAGACATTATTGTCTTTTCATCTTAAACCGCCGTTTTTCACGGTCGAGTGCAATCATTCGCATGTATCGCTGAGATGAGCAACATGATAACAAGCTTTTCGTTTTTTCTAATTTGCAGACGCGTGTCATAACTTTAGCGTTACGTATCAATCTTTTTATTCTTTGCAAATCCATAGTCATTATGTCATCTACATTATATCTCATTTTAATTGATCTCAATTTAATTTATTTTAATTTACTTTATTCTCTACTTTATTCATTTTCCTTTACATGCACGTGTGTGCGATATTATCTTTTCACTCAATTAAATTAGAACATGAAATAACATATAAACGCATAACTTTTTTAAATTAAAATCACTTCGAAGGAAGATACTGGATGGACAATGTTTACTGCGACGGATCTGAGGACGAAATCGCGAAATGCCGTTTCGACGGATGGGGTGTCTCCGATTGCGGCAGCAACGAAGCAGCCGGCGTCATTTGCTTGCACGACGAGAAAGCGGAAGCATCAACGTCACCGACCCCGCGGGAGAAGTTACCGAAGGCCAGAATAAAGGATACGTATCAGCAAGGCATGGCGTTACGGTTATCAGGAGGGCGCGTGCATTCCGAGGGCCAGGTGGAGATTAAATTAGGCAATGGAGGTAACGTGACAAAATTCTAAAATCCACGAAGAAGGAAAAATTAATTGTAACTACATTTTTTAAATAATCTCTCTCTTTATCTATTATAAAATTTCCGTAACTTTTAAATAAAACGCGTAAAAAAAATAATTAATTAAAAAGATATGATTACATAAATGGATAAAAAAAGGTTTTCGCCGCAAATTACAACCGCTATCGCACTTTTTAACCGCGCTATTAAATCACCGATATAGAAAGAAAAATATATGATATTACAAAATTTTTGTTACTCTTAAATGTCATGACTTTTTTTAAACGTCATCGACAAGATTATAAATTTGACATGTTTAAATCTCCGCGGCCACTTGATTACAGATTGGAGTACCGTCTGCGGTGACAGTTGGTCCATTCTCGAAGCCGCTGTGATTTGCCGTCAATTGGGCCTCGGTTACGCTTCCGACGCGATACAAACTAATTTTTTCGACAATCGAGAGCTGATGCCGATGTCGATCAGCGGATTACAGTGCAATGGAAACGAGGAAAATTTAGCTGAGTGCCTGCACGACCAGATTGTAGATTGTCCAGGTACTCCTCTGACACAATTTTTGACGAAATAGTTATAAAATATTAGCAATAATATATTCATAAAAGATGAATATAATAGCAATATCATGAGAATATTTATCTTATTTATATCATGACAGTATAACGTTTTTGTGGAAATTAGTAGCAGTATTACAGATTTCAATTATAGAAGATATATATTCATGAAGAATCGACTTTTGCGAACTTTTCTCATTTTTCTTATATACAAATATATATATATATTTGTATATAAGAAAAGGAATCTGAGAATTGGCATCTAGAAACGAGACGATTGTTACGTTTCACGGCGAGGATTTTAAACGCCGGCACTGCAGATTTCCGTCCATCTGTGCCCAAACACCTGTGGGAATGGCACATGTGTCACATGTGAGTGACACCATTGATAACGCCGGAAGATAAAAAAAATTTTTTTAAATATTAAAAGAGAAACAGAAAATTTTCTAAAATAAATAATTCTAATTAAAGTTCATGTTAATAGTCAGATTTTCGCAAAATATAAAACATCTTGCTTAAAATAAAATGTAAAAGGAAAAATGAATCCCGTAATAAACGTTTTTTTTTTTTTTTTTTTTTTTGAATGTACGTATGATAGTTATGATATTTGTACACTGTACTATGAGTGCCTCAGTATTACCGTTATTGATGGTATAAGACGATTAGGAACACTCAAATAATAAATCTAAAAGATTAGTTTATATATATCAAATTTATAAAATAATCTCGCATCTATCTGACACACACGACAAAATGATAACTTTCAGATTTCTACATCGCATCTATAAAACCACGATCCATTTAAAAAAGAAAAGAAAGAACGAAATAGATACTTAATGCATGTAATCGAACTCGAAGGTAAAATATCGACAAAAAAGCTCCCTTAAAAATATTTCTAGGGAAAAAATTAATTGTCTTGAGAGAAAATATTTATAACGACCGTCGTAACATTTGTCCCCTACAAACAAACTAAACCCACCACTTCGAATCGTAATTCGAGAAATCAAATATAATTAAAACAAAATGTTGTTTAAATGTCGACGAGTTGCATAGCGTAAAAAAATATTCTGACGATCAAATCGTCGTAGAGTAAATAAATAAAAATTGCACACATTAAATATTAAAATACTTATAATAATTATTTTATACATTATAACAGATAATCGAATAATAATAATTAGATTAACATAAATAACAAGAAAATTGTAGTTTCATATTATGAATTTTTGGATTATAATAAAAGCCTAAGTTGGTCAAATTTGATCTTGAAATTCATTTCTACTTAATTCTTTTCGCGCTGTGCTTCGCATCTCAAAAGAAGCTGACTCAATTATAGGTCAACGGCAAGGTGACCGCTCACGTAATTCGTTTTAAAAAAAATATATAGAAATGGCCCAACAGAAGTACGGCTTCCGTCGACTTCGCGTCGAATATCGTGCAGTATTACAGCGACTTTTATTCTACGCATCGCGGAAAAAAAGAGCGCGTAACGATTTTGCGTGACAACCTTCACCCGGAGACCAAAATTGTTCGGGGAAAAATTTTTCGACAAAAGCGTCGAGAATTATTAACGAACGCATATTCGAGTGATAAAATTGTTGGAAAAACCAAAACTTTTCGAGGTATGAAACTTTTCAACGACGTCGTCCAAAGGATAATCATTTACAAGAATCGCATTCACAGAGGGTAGAATTTTGTCCGAGGGAAAATCGATAACGGACTTGAGACTTTTGGTGCTTTAAATCCGTCACCGAGCGCGAGATAGGCCCTGACATTCGTCGGTAATCGTAAAAATTGGAACAGCAGAAGAGTGACAGAGGAGAGGAGCGCGTGTTTCATGCCGATTGTTAAACACCGAAGTGGCGCTTGTCACGCGATTTAATAAATGCCATCGAAATTAATGGGGGAGCGGGAAAGCGGACGAGACTTTCGTGAAGAATGCCCTGCGTGCTAAACGACGCTTTGCGCCGTGACATGACGTCATCCAGGATCACGATTACTGGATACCTATATACCTAATAGTTAATTACAGAAGTCACAGGATAACATTGATGAAAAAATACAAAAAATATTACAAAAAAAATAAATAACGAATTAATGTGTTGAGTGTCCCCTTCTTTTATTGAATCGTTTATTTAAAATATTAAAATTAAAAATTCGACAGTAATATTCTTAATAAGATAAATTTTTATGAGAGACGCACGAATAAATGAATTGTGACATATTTTTCTTTTATAGGCATTATCACTCGATGGAAGTATTTGCTACTTTCGATGTAATCGATTCAAGCGGCAATAAAGTAGCCGAAGGCCATAAAGCGTCCTTCTGCCTCGAGGACAATCAATGTATGCCCGGTGTTCAATCCAGGTGAGAATCCTGATAGCGCGTAATAGATCACATTTCTCTTTTTCACACGACATGCAATTTGTATATTTAATTTGTTTTATTTTATCACCACTTTTATGTTTGTAATTATATTATATTATGTGTGTTCACGAATCTATTAATAAAGTTTATAATTTGAAACGTCGTCGTTATTTCAGATACAAATGCGCCAATTACGGGGACCAAGGTATTTCCGTTAATTGCAGTGACATTTACAAGCATAATATCGACTGCCAGTGGGTGGACATTTCCGAGCTCGAGCCAGGACATTACACGTTCAAGGTACAGTTGTAATAAAGCTATTTTCACGAATACAAGACGCAAGAGATTTCCCCAGCCCTCTCCGAATAAAGTTGCGTATATCGAAGTTTTTCGAATCCGGAGAATTTCACGAAAAGGAGTTTTCTTGTTTCCAGGTTGCGGTGAATCCCGAATTCAAAGTTGGCGAAATGTCGTTCGATAACAACGCGGCGATCTGCCGCCTGCTTTATACAGAAACTTTTGCAACTGTCCACAGTTGCATAATGGGACGTCCTTGACACGCTGTGCACGATTGCGGGGATTTTTTTAGCTGTGGGCAATCTACAGGATGAGATTAATACCGGCGTTGGCTGCGATGAACAAGAAGCGAGAACGCGTTATGAATTTAATAAAATAATTTTACAATGTATATAGATTTTTCCGCGCGCGCGTGAGTGGATTTAAACAGATTTCAGATAATATGCAAGATATATCATATGAGATTTAAAAAATAATTTTCGGAATGGACGGCAGAAAAAACTGAATGTTGTTTTAACATTGTTATACTAGTTTTAAATTTCATATTTAGAAGTGTGCAGTATATATTGTTATAATATATTTGATTTCTATAATAAGAGATTCCAAAAACTAAAGAAGGCAAAAGAATTTAGAATTTAAAGAAAGTAAAAGAGATTTTTATTACATTATTTCTAAACTGCTCTTAGAAATAATGGATTCTGAATCTAACAATATCTTAGTTTATTAATTAAATGTATTTTGTATATTAACACTAAAATATTTCATTCTGCAAAATTCAAAAAAAATTTTTTAAAAATGTATTAACGATCATATAAAAGATTATTGTTTAAGGACTCAATCTGTTTTATTTTACAATTTATATCTTCCATCTTACATTTCTTTAATACATATTATATCATATTTCTTTTCATTATTTCTACCAAAATCATCGTCGACGATGCTGCAACGACAGTAAATCTTTGAAGAGGCACTCTTCGTGCCCATTGAATTCCTGGCTTTCTAAACCCTATCGTCTCCATTCACGCGACTTTTCGGATAATTACAGAGCAGCGTGGGGCGGCCCCGGGAATAATTACTAACCCGGCCTGCGGTTACATAGGCGTCTAGACCTGCGCGCCTAGCGAGAAGCAACCGGGTGTGCAGATCGAAGCTGCTCGCAGCTCCGGTCGGCCACCTCCTCCGTAGGCATGCTGGCCGTGTACGGAATCTCAAGTTTTGGAGTCTAGGACCGAATTTATAGACCTTCCGACCGCGAACGTGGAACCGCTCGTCGCTCTAGATTCCCGGGGGAGCGACCGATCGCAAGGGACTCCTAGACGAATAGATGAAAAGGATGGTTCGATACGGAGTTCGAGAAATATTTACGCTCTTTTGTCCCTTTTAGGCATCCACTCGAGAGAAATTGCTTAATCTCGCGTACACGCAACATTAATTATTCATAGGAAAAGGACTATCGTAGGTACATCTCGAGGATTCCAAACTACACTCTAGACCGGGTCTAGAATAGAATCGCGTTATGACATCACGTTTGAGTACTATGTCGGCTATCTGCTACCTGTTCGCAGGTGTTTGCAGGTATATAGCTAGAGTAACTATATCGCATTCCTATATACAGGGTGTCTTGATATTACCATTGAATACCGTTACAAAAAATGGCAAGTTAAAGAACATATACATATATATATATATATATATATATATATATATATATATATATATATATAAAAAATAAAATAATATAATAAAAGTGTCTTTGATTCTGATGTATTTGTAGAGTTCAGTGTCGAAAAACAAGCTAATAAGTAATCTGTCGACGTATAAATGATTTAATGAAATTGATGTTATGAATTAAATGGGAAGATAATTTAATTAATTTGTGTAATATATTGTACAGAATCGCGCAATAGGGATCGTGCGAAAGTTATTTCGCGGTAACATTGCGCATGTTTCAAGAGTCCCCTTCTTAAAAATCTTACAGATCGATGTAAAATTACTAATTTATTCATCAGTATAAAGAAGAAGAGAAGAGCCTAATAATACAATTAAATAGTGTAGTGTCTTTAAATTCATTAGAGAATCGTTTAAATCCGAGAGTTTTTAAAACAGTATTAATTACGCTGTTTATATGAATCATATAAAATAGGAAGAATCCAATAATACAACAAGATAATAATGACAATAAAACATGTAAAGTAAGAAAGAAGCAAAAAAATGTCGAATACATATTCTATTTGCCGGAGTTCATACAGAGATTATTTAATTATATTTAAAGATAAATTAAAATAATGGCGAGTAATATGCTGATAAAAATTTCGTTCTTGTTGAGTATCGTCTTGTTAACTTTGAGCAAGAGCGAGCAAGTTTTATGCTCTGAAAATAATACATTATTGGAGACCATGGGTGATGCTATTTTAACAGGTAAGTCGTTAATTAATAAGATTCCAATCAATTTCATCGGAATCTAAAAATTATTATGCATAATGTATATTTACAACGGAATTAGTTTTCTATTTGCAGCGCATTGCATAATTTTTGAACAATGAGAAGCAGTATATATTTAAATAGAATTTTAAATAAATAGCAAATAATTTGCAATTATTTGAGCAATCACAACTATAATTGTTTTTCTGATAAATTCGTAAATCTCATTCCGTAAATTTAAACTGTATATTTTTATATGCGTTGTAACCCAAAGAAATTTATTTTAAAACTCGTTTTATTTTAATCAACAAGAGTAATCGAAAAGAAAACTTTCGCGATATTTTTTAATTTTTAATGACAATCATCGGCATTTGATCAGTTTTCGTGGACGCCAATTACGGACAATACTGCAATATATCGTCATCCAAGGGTCTCCAGCAAGTTTCAACCGCACTACATATGGTGCGAACTTTAAACAAATATGATCACATACCGGGTGTGAAATTGGGTAAGCAAACTAAATTATTTTGCATTTGTGTATATCTATTCATAAAAATTAATTTTTTAATTTTATTAAAAATTTATTAATTTAGAAATTTAAATTTACCGAATGTAACTCGTAAAAATACAATTGAGTTGAGTTAAGAAATATAATATAAAAATAAAATTGAAATTGAAAAGTATACTATATTATATTGTATGAGTTATAAAATAATTTCAATATTATATGTCAAGATAAAATTATGATATATTTATACACATTTTAGAGAAAATAACTTTTAAAATATATCTCTATAAATTCTCATAAATAAATACATTATCTCTTTATACAGGGATAAGAGTATTCGATACATGCCACGACAAGATTATAGTGTTTAAACACATCTTGAGAATGATACTCGAGCAAAATTGCACCCCAAATTACGAAATGGGTGTACTGGTACCCTCCCAGTATAGTTCCATGATGAATTTTTTTCGCGATTACGACGATCTGCCGATCGTCACTTACGGAGAACGGAATTTCACGATACCCACGATCGACATTTTGGCGCACTATCTGAGCACTAGGTACGAGGTCATCGATCTGGTCCACACCAACGTAAATTCAGTTCTCGAACATTTCCTGGAAGTCACCAGAGATGTTGGTGTGTGCGTGAAGCGACATGACAAACGCTTTGACGATGACAGGAACGAGAACGTCGCGGAAGCGGTGATAGTCGCGATCGGCGAAAGAGATGACATACAAGGATGGCTGAGAGAGAGCGAGGGCTCGAAGGATATCAGAAGGAAAACGTGGCTCCTGCTACCGCTCGATAACTCGGATATTGATGGCAAGTAATTTTACGTATCGACAGACGAGACGATAGAGATATTGCAAGGGCGAAATATTTTTGATCCCTGCGCGGATATTTTATAAAACGAGTGTAATATCACTTTTCTTACTTTATTCAAACGAAAATTTCATTTTCCGACCTCTATAATTCTGCACGAGAGTGGCTATCTATTTGTTGTAAACATAAAAGTCGACCATTGTCTGAATTACAGCTACGTTTAAATGTCGGAGTCGGAGATCGGGTTCGTAACAATAGTTATGTTATTCAAGTTTAACCGTAGTAGTTGAAAGTTAAGAGGACAGTTTCTCGACGTCGCTGAACTTCTTAGAACGACCCTCTATTTCTATCCACAATTATAGCTAAGTCGAGACAACGAGACGATTAAACTATAATTAAAGTCAACCGATGTTCAAGACGTTAAACAGATTAACTTATGCGAATTTAAACTTAGGCACAAGGAATTTTTAATATATATGTAAATGTATATCAAGAAAAAAAATCTATATTTATACAGATCTTTTTGCTTTAGAAGTTTTTTTTTTCGATAAAAATTATTATTTTACATCAACTCAAACACTGAAAATCTAAACTAAAATTTTAATATGGTAAATATATTAATCCAAATTTAAACAACGTCTCTTAAACTTCCAGATCTCATACCTTCTGGATCATACATCATCAAACCGAAAGCATCTGGCTTCGATTTCAACGAATTCTCAAGCGCGAACGAATTCCTAGAGAAGACCGGAGACTTTGTGAACCACTCGCCGTATCTCCTGGACATCGGCAAGGCCATTGTTGGGCTAGTGGATATTTTCCAGGAAGTTCAGAAAAGAGATTGCCCTACCGACGATGACGATGACGAGAACCGCGAAGAAAATTGCATTATGACACAACTTCGTCCGCAATCGCAACGAGAAATACGCGATTCCGACGTCTACAAAGCTCTGCGCATGCAACTGAGATCGTATTTAGTGAGATACGTGGTCGCCATGAAGATGCAGCACGAGCTCATCGACGTCGCTCTCTATGAGATCAAAGTGTCCGAGTTGCGCGTACTTCCGGCGAAAATAACATCCAGAATGCCAGGGCTCTGTCTGGAGAATCTCGTCGGGAAATGCGAGAACTGCACGAATTTCCAGAAACGCTCCGACGCACGAAAAGTCATTACGAAAGGTAAAAATAATATATAAAAATGAATATTATAATATAAATTTTTTAAAACTCTGTATAAAATTCACGAGCTGCTCATTCAGCTGCAAAGAAATATAAAAAAAGAGGCAAGAGAAGAATGTAAATTGTATGTAGTAATAATGTCTATGATGCTAATTAATTGTATGATTTCTATTTTTTTTTAAATCTCGACGTTTGTAATTATAGATTAACTGTGCATATATTAGAGAAATATTAAAGAGATATTTTTCACAATTAAATCCTTTACCGATTTAATTGTGTCACTTTTATAAATTTCACGCAATATTTAATTATAATTCGGATCTATTTAACGTCAATTATCATAAATTATATTAAATCACATACGTCTCTATAATGTCAGTTTCCAGAAGAAATAATCGCGCGAGAAGATTAATCTGATATTCCAACAGATATCATTGGCAAAAACGTCCTGAAGGACAGCGTTTACGTTCCTATTTTTCTGATCGCCATCGTGTGCGGTACGCTTGCGTGTTGCATCATCATGATCTTCATCATTCGTCGTTTCGCAACGGAAGAGACGTTCGACGGCAATCCGACCTTCACGATCATTCTCGTCCTGGCCAACGTGTTTATCCTGATGACGGCGTTACCGTTCTGTATGACGGACGATTATTTCGGCGCGGAGAATCTGAACGCCCGAAAAATCCTCCACACCGCTCTCGCGTTCGGCTTCACGTTCTCGATCATGCTCTCGAGAGCGGTCTTTCTGGTCTTGACTAGGGACGACGTTTTCGTCATTCACATGAATGGATATCTGCATGGCCTCATGGCATTCTTCATGTTCGGTGTGCAAATCGCCATGTCTGTCACGTATTTCGTTCTGAACACGGAAAACTCGGCTGTGGTTATCAGGAGTCCCATCTTTATTGCATTGCTGGGTATATTGACATTTCTTATATTGATTTAAAAAAATATAATAATATATATAATCTTTATATGAGTTTGAATAAGTCATGATATTATTCAAAACGTTACAATAATTTCTCATATTAATTGCATTCTGTTTACTCGGAAACTGGTTCTATATAATTTTGTTATTTTAATATTGTATATCTTCTTATATTTTAATATTTTACTTTACATTACAATAGTCTACTAAAATTATTCAGTCATTCAATTATTCAATCACGTGACAGCATAAATTTCTTGAAATTAAACTTCTCTCTTTCTCTAATGTTTTCAGGATATGATATATTTCTATTAATCTTATTATTCGTCGCTTCCTGCTTCATCATCAAAATACCACGCAACTATTGTGAAGGAAAGTGCTTCTTCGGCACCTCTATCAGTTTGCTAGTAGTATGGGCGATATGGCTAATTTGTTTTATATTGATGCAGCCAAAGAATCGCGATACAGTTGTCTCATTTGGCATAATTGGCACGGCTTACTCCATAATCCTCGGTATTTTAATGCCAAAAATTTATTACATGATCACACATCCACCCAGAAGGAAAGATTTTGAACAAAGATTCAATCCTGTCAATCTACCGACCGATACGATCGTCAGGCAGGTAAGGACAATGCACGTTTGTATTAATCTTTGAAAATAATCAACTAATGAGACAAAAAAATTTATTAATTATATGAATTGTCGGTTATCATAATTTTAATTAAAAACTGAATTAATTTTTTATAATTGATTATATATGATGTAATAAATTTAATATTAAATAATAATTTTCATTTCTTTATCAGTAATAAAGAAATTCGCTTTTTACAGTCACATTCCTCCTACGAATACGTTCATCCAGTTCGAGAAAACCAGATTTTACGGATGTCGACATATTCAGATTATTATGACAATCCAAATCCGAGCTCGAAACGTTTCGATCGATACGAAAATCCGTATCACCGTGAAATGTATGGATATGGTAATTATGGATTTCAGGCGGAGATGAAGGAGATTGATGCTGCTCATGTCGCGCCGCGAATATGTGTCGAGGTGTGTGTGAATAATCATTAAATTACTCTCCTAAAATCTCTCTGCGTAAAATATTGGAAGATAATAGTTTACACATGATCACATATAATGTTAATTATTGAATTATATATAAAAATACTGCAAACTCTTAAATATATATATATATATACAGAATCGGTTTCAAAAATCTTATAAATTTCCAGTCTTTAAGAAATCTCGAAGTAGCATCAAATGACGTTATCTATGCGCAACCAAGGATCTATAGATCGCAGAGAGTAGTTCTGGGACAAGAAAGCAATGCAGAAGCAATTTGTAATAGAGATAATTCTTCACCTACTCTTAGAATATACAATGAAATTTATCCCATGAGATACGCTAGTCCAACAAATATGATAAGGGAGCAAAGGATCGATGAGGAGAACGAGGACGAAGAAAACGAGGAGGAACAAAAGGTTGGAAGGGAGGACGAAGGTCTCAGCAAAGTTACCCGCCTTTGAGATAAATATAATTAATTTAATGTTCATTTTTTAATGTGTTACGCTATATGAAAAATTTATACAGATTTATAAATTTTTCTTAAAATAAACAAGTAAATTTCTAAATAATTGATCAATTAAAAAAATTTCGAAAAATTAAAATTGTGACTAAACAAAGAGTAGGATGTGAGTTGTGTTATTCATTGAAAGCCTATAATAACTTCAAATTTAGCTAAATACTGAATTCTATAGTAATTATTGGCGAGTTCGCTGGCCAATTCGACGACGGAAGTTCGTCGTTACATTAAGCGAGGAGAGACATGAGCGGAAAGCTGCGCCGTGTGCGGCGCAGAATCAATTTGGCATGTACCTCAACGCCGAAATTGCATTATGGTCGATCGTAATTTCGCAAGCAGGGCACAGGTGTGTGCTCCGCGGGAATATCGATGACGAGATAGCGATATAGCGGGCACGCAACAAAGGGACTCGCGAAAACGAAGTTTGCGTTCACCACAGTGCGACGTATGAGAGAACAATTCGCCGTTTGAATAAATTATTATAGTTTAAAAAAATTTTTTTTTCTTAATGCAGTCAAATATAAAATAATTTATATTTTGTTTTACAGTGGAATCTGCGTATATATTATCTCAACGTCTCAAAAGTTTTAATAATGAATTAGATTATGTTATACATTGGATATCAATATATCAGCAAATAAAGCTGCAATTAAATAATATCATTTGCAGCTTGCTTATAAATTCACATAAGTTTTTATTCCATAGAATTTTCTTTCAAGAGGAATTTGTAATGACTAAAATGTAACAATAATATATAATAAATAATTTTAATCTAGAGCAATCGCGTAAATGACGCACGTACGAAAAAAAGAAAAAAATACGTGACCCTCTCGAAAATTTTATCAAACGCGCGCAGCCCCTTTACCGATCCCGTTGACGACGTTCTTTGACGGTTTACGACCACGTGCGCCATGGTTTATTTCCACATCATGAGACCACCATGAAAACCGCTAAAATCAGACCAGCTGGCGACGGCCGATAAGCCACCATAATGGAGATAAATCGAAAAGTGCATCGGTTCGTGAAAGGATGCGCCATCCGGACCAATCTTCGCGTTGCCCCCATGAAAAAGCTTCTGCGCAAGGACGAGCTTCAAAAGCGGCTATAAAAGCCCGCACGAGACTCGTCCGCTTTCCAGTCACGTTTAGAGCCGTCTTTCCAGTGACGAAAAAAAAAGAAAAAAGAAATACGAGAGGAGCTACTTGAATTACGTGCGCTTATCAAGCCGATAAAAGGAGAGAGAGGATCAGTCACGGAATTTTTTTCAACATTTGGAAAAGAGATTCCTATTAAATAGATAGACTCAAAAAAATATACTGCTATAAATAGCATACTTCTGGAATAACGGGTTCTTATTTGCTTGATTGTATTTCGATCTTTCTCTTCTCGTTTATAAATCTATATTCAAAATTTAATGATTAAATCAAAAAAATTTTAAATTTTGATTTATATTTTACTCTTTTTCGCGCTTTGTCTCTTTTAATCATATTATCTGATATTAATTACACCAAAGGTATTCTCTGATTATCGAGAATTGACAGATTACCACGCGTAAATTTTCGATAAAGGCAGATCTTTGATTTCTGGTCGAGTTTTTCGCAAATATAGTGGCTTCCTATATATTCGATCTCTCTTCACTCTATCCATCGAGATCGATGATCAAGGATGATGTTGGGCGATCTGAGAAACATTCGCGTGATCACCGTCGTGGTAGTCTATCTTAGCCTCTTGCTGGATAATGTCCTGTTGACGGTAGTTGGTAATTAAAATAAAAGAAAGAAAGAGAGACGAGTCTCAGATTAGACAATTGGCTGATCCGAACATGTTTCAGTGCCGATTATTCCCGATTATCTGTGCACACTCGACGCGAACACGACTGCAAACGCCGAGAAGGACGAAAACGGTCGAGTGGGATTACTATTGAGCTCGAAGGCTCTCGTTCAATTAATTTTGAATCCTGCCGTGGGCACTCTCACCGGCACCCTGGGCTACGCCAGACCCTTGTTCCTAGGAAATCTGAGCCTCTTGCTGGCTGCTTTACGTAAGTTACGGATGATATTTTTAATCGCATCCACGTCTTTATCCGATGAATAATCGAAGTCTTTTCTCGTTTGTGCTTCAAGAGAGATGTTATCGAAATAGAAGATAAAATTTTTAATTTATTATATCTCAACCAATTCATCGAACGTTATAAATATTTCTATTAAATCTAAAGGATTTACCGAATTAATTATGTAGTTATTTTTAATTGTTCGTTTATGTTATTTGCACAAATTGGAGTTTGTATTCACGAAACGACCGTCTGTTAATTAAGCGAGTAAAAAGTTAAAGACGCGCAGTTAACATAAACAGCGCTACTAAATCTCCGTTGTTGTCGCAGTGTTCGCTTTTGGACAAACGTACGAGATACTGTTCTTGGCTCGGAGTATTCAAGGTATAGCCTCGGCATGTATAGCCGTCTCCGGCATGTCTCTGGTCGCCTCTCAATATTCCAAAGAGGACGAAAGATCTAAGATTATGGGTTTCGTCCTCGGCAGCATCGCTCTGGGCGTTCTCCTGGGTTATCCGATCGGTTCTGTGCTTTACGATCTCGAGGGAAAGATGGCACCTTTTCTATTAGTGTCTTGCTTCATCGTTGTAATAATTTGTAAGTAATTTTCCGAAATTGTAATTGTAAGAAAATAATTTTTTCATGTACGAGAATATAATAAAATGTTGACGATAAATGTGTTATTTTCAAAGGTTTGCAAATCTTGATGTTAGACGTTCAGACAAGTGAGTATGAAGTGAGTATAACATTTTTATCATTTGATAAATAAAATTCGATTCAATAATATTATCATTACGATATTAAAAAATTTAAATTAAAGATTTAAAATATAATGATTAACTTTTAGTATTTTATAAAAATACATTATTAAAGTTAAATTATTTAATTAAATTGTTCCTTTTCGCATACATCAGCCAAACGAGCAACAAAGTACGTGGATGCATTTATTATCTAATCCACATATCCTCATTATCGCCGGTGCTATCTGGTGTTCGACATCGCCCATGGCGATATTAGAGCCTTGTCTGCCCATTTGGCTTCGGACCCACATAAGACCCAAGGTTTGTTTTATAAAATAAAAGATGTCAATGGAACAAAAGTTTTATCAAGTTTGTGATTACTGTAAATCATCGTGTATAATTAATATTGCCTACATCATAATAATTAATACGATCAATTTAATTAAACAACGATTAAAATTATTTATTTGACTTGAAATCAAGCATGAGAGAGTCATTTCAATTCACCCGTTTGATAATCGAAACCGATACACTATTTATTTCATAAATTTTCATAAAAAAGAATATTATATTAATTTTTTAATTAATTTCTCTTGCAGAAATGGCAACTGGGCACGGTATTCATACCGGACAGCGTGGGCTATTTAATCGGGACCAACTTCTTTGGCGTGATAGCGTATCGTTACGGACGTAGTAAAGTGGCGATTCTGGCTGTGTTTGTGGTCGGCGTTAGCGCCATTCTCATTCCGTCAGCCAACACAATGTCACAATTGATATTCCCGCATCTGGCAATGGGTTTGGGCATCGGCGTCGCCGATGCAGCTCTCGTGCCGTTGCTGGCCAGTTTGGTGGACCGAAATGGCAATTACGGACCCGTTTACTCGATTCAACAAGTAGCTGTCAGTTTAGCTTACTCCTTAGGTAAAGTAAAATTAATACATTCGTTGATTATATCAATAAAATTAAAGTAAATAAAGATAAAAGGCATAAAGTATATAAAATGCCTTTACATATGCTGAACTATTTACAATTAAAGCCAGTTATAAAGAATATATGTCGTATATATAAGCCATAATCTTTTTCAAGGGCCCATCTTGGGCAGCGAAATGATCAGAGCTATCGGATTCCCATGGGTAATGCGAGTCGTGGGTATCATGAACATTGCGTACTGTCCATTGCTGATATACCTCACGTTAGAACGGAAAAAGTTGTTGACCAAGAAGGAAGAAAAAAAGGATTACGATACGTTTCAAAAATCCATCGCGCCCTACGAAAGATTTCACGATTCCGACGACGATCTTTGACGGTAAATAAAATTTATTTAACAACGATCATATATCTAAAAAAAACTTTGTAAATCTTTATACACGTTAAAATTTTATTCTTTGTATTTCAACAGAGATATTGCGTTCGTCGATCATTAGTTAATTATGACAAGCCATTATTCTCGTTTCAATAGACAACCGCGTGGCGTTAAATATCGTTAAATTCGCTTTTAGACACTTCGCGGGCTAGCGTCTAGTAATGTTATTGTGTCCCCAATTAAGCGAGTCATGCAGAACCGGGTCCTCGTTGTAACTGGTAAACCAAGTGAATTATTGATGGAACAGCATCCCCGAGACAGTCGTTCGTGGTACGGCGACGTTCCTCGGATCGAAGAGCAGGAATCCGCTGAATCCGAGACACGGTGAATACACGAGACGGACAAGAAACGCGCGCTTCCGATGACGGAAAACGACGATCGATCGATCGTACGACGCGACGCAGCCTCCTGAAAGCTTATTAATGCACTCAATCTACAGCGAAATTCATTTACGTTGCATTAAGGGTCTCGCCATCTGCCACGGGCATTGAGACCCGTCATTAGTTTAGGTAGATCGCAATAGTACTTCATCAACGATCGTCTCACGATCCTTTGTGTCCAAAATCAAATGCTACAATTCTAAGAAAAATTCGAGCGCAGAATTTTGAAAAACGTAATAAATCTAAAAATAAATAATTTATTCGCATCTGCAAACGTAGATGAAGAAATTCTACAAAATTTTTGTACTCTTAATATTTGGATCCCTTTTATGTTTAAGTTATAGTATTCAATTATTCTGCTAAAATAATTTTAATTGCACATGCAAAATTAGAGAGACAGAGAAACATTTTACACAAAACATACACATACATATATACATATATAATCTATATATATACGCTTTCTTTCTGATATAACATTTCTCCGAGGATTATGAAATTATTCATTACGAAATATAAACTTGCTCTTTCATTTATTGTTATTTATCGTTAGTGAACTTATACACTGTACTTTGTTGTCGGTATATAAACTGAATTGGATCTTATTCCCGATCTAAAATATAATTTTGTCCCAACCGTATTATCCGCTGAATAACCTAATGATTTTTCGGTTTGTCCAATAAAGAAACGTAAATATTGATCGTAGGAAAGTTCAAACGTATAGATAAATCCCGGTTGTTTTCCTCGAGAAAATCGGAGGCAGTAACGTAAACAGGATAAGAGAGAGGCGATGGTACCGTCGAAGGGATTTCTAATCGGAGAACGTGGCGCAAGAAGAGACGAAATGGGGCGTAACTTTGCGCCCTGGGGTTTATTCGGTGAACAACGCCGATCGTCATTAGCAGGGGTGTTGGATTAATCGGGCCGCCGCCTCCGCCGCCGCAAGGGAAGCTAAATGCGATCCCGTAAAGGACGTACGTGCGTACGCACGCGGATCTTTCTAAAAATGAAGTGTCCCCTCCTTGGGAACTTTGTACACCAATTTGTGGCACCCTGTTGAATTATTAATAACGTACAATTAATCAATTAATCAATGTTGAGTTACCGCTACGAAATTGTATGCCGTTGTAACAAATATTCTCTCTCTACCTTATCAATGTTTCAATGTAATCCTAATTATCCTCTACTCTGAAAAAAAAACGTCTATTTCTGTTGCAAAGTAGATAATAAAACAGATTAGCGATTTTATTATTAAAAAAATGCGAATATAAAAATAATTTTCGTGCATCAGATTGCGTAAAGATTGAGAAGATAATAATTAATGTAATATAATTCTGTCTATTTTTTTTTTAAAGTTATGTATATTTTTGTTTTATTCTTACTTTATCCACAAATTCATAATTCTTTTCATAATCTTGTATAAAATGGGTAATGACACACTTTGTTATGGCATCAGATTTCTTTTCGAGAATAATGTTCATTACAAAATAAATATTTACTCTTTCATTGTTACTTATCGTTTGAGAGCTCACGCTTTGCTCTGTGTTTACAGTCAATGTTGATAATAGACATACTTTCGTAATTGACCGAGGAAGTCAAATCCCGCCTGGTTCTCCGAACGTCGCAGCGAGTCAATAATTAAGGCTAGTTAAATTATACCCTATAGATAGAAAATCGATACGTGTATCGTGTCTGGGCGACTCTAATTCCGCACGAAATAAAACGCGTCAGGCAAAGTGCGTCGCAGAAAGCGTCTCGGTTGCGTCGTTGGCAGTGAGATAGGTAAAGAGAATCGTGATAAAAGAAAAACAACGACAAAGAAAAATCAACAACTAAAAGGACGAAAAAACGTCGCGTATATTTAATGGAAGAGCATGATGATGATCCGGTAATTTTCGACCGCCTCCGCGCGACGAAACGTTGATGGTCCTCGTCTGGTGACGCAAAACTTCGGAGTAACACCGAGATAACGTGATAAGGTAAATATTGTGAGATATAATCATCGCGTAGACGAGAGATGACGATCTTCGTTCTCGAGTAATCTTCTCAACATATATCCTTCGGGACAATTATAAAATAGTGCATATATGTAGATTCTTTTTTTATAAATAATTTGTGTACGAAATTCGTATTTTTATTTCAAGGTAAAATTCAAAGCTATTTAATTTAAAATAATTATATTCTCGTATATTCTTGCAGTTTAAGTTCCTATGTACGCTCGTTTAACCTTCGCGAATGATGTCTTCATTATCTTTTCCTCCGGTGAAGGAGTCTTTTCAAGCTTTAAACATCCATTCCTCTCTCTCTTGGGCGCTGCCCCAATTCCGGTCCTCCATCTTTGTATTCGGTGATGTGGCAGAGATTAGTGGTGCGGCGTTGCATGAAAGATCGCGGAGTAAAATCCGCGATAAAGCGTGCCAGAGCCCTCGTCGTCGACCCTGAGCGAAATTTAATGCCCGTCCGTCTTCCGCCCGCGCGACTCCCGACCTTTTTCTCCTCGTCATCACTAACGAGTCATTCAGCGCCCATCAAATCTCGATGGTCCTTCTCGCATTTTTTTTTTTGTTTTAGTATTCAATGAATACGTTGGTAAGAAACAAAATATAAGTATGTATAACAAGATATTCAAATGTCAACGCAGGAGTTAAACGTCAATAAACACAGTTAAGATTGTAAGTCTGTGCTTGAAAAATGAGAGAGACATTAGATCTAAAGTAAAAAATATTCTTTTTATACGTTTATTCATTTATTCCTCTTGCAATACCACTCGTATTACAAAGTGTTCTCGAGATATTAAATCTGACTTTTAGATCATTGTCGCGAAACAAGAACAGAGTAACATTTTGTTTTAATATTTAAAGTAATAGAAAATACCTTGGTATAATTTTTCACGAGCAACAATCAGATTCTGCAAACTTTCGTAAAGAGAACGCTTTATCAAACCTTTATCTGTGCTATCTATCGATTTCCATAACGTGACGGAGAGCAATCCAATCCCGTTGTATTAATTCCGTATATTACGAAGAAAATTAGAATCGAAATTAAAATCAAATTACGGACAAACTGCGCAGATAATAAAAAGAGGAAAACAAGAACAGACTCGTAACAGCTAGATGACCTCGGTGTGTCTGTTATTCGCGAGGACTCGCACTTTAAATCGGGACAGTCAATCGCCGACATTGTCCTAAAAAGGATCTCGAAAAACGTGAGTACAGAGAGAAACGCATGATTTAATTTCTCATTTCGTATAAACGGGCGTACGTAACCATATGAATTTCGACATTATCACACAGATCTCTCGTCATAATAAAAATTGTAAAATATAATTTGTGAAATACAATGTCAAAACTCGAAATATCGTTGCATCGATCTATTTTCATAAAGAAATAAGCAAGATTATTTATGTTAATTATCTTAAAATCTTTGGAGGACAGAAGTTTTAACCTGCAGATAACAATAATAATAATAATGATAATGATGATGATAAGAGACCAGAATATGTAACAGTGTTTAGCTACGTAATCTTTATTACATTTTATTTAAAATCGCTTCAAGAAAGAACACTTGTTTTCGGTTAGCGTATCAACATTGTTCAAAAAAGAATTAGGCACCACACGTAGCATATACAGTGTTCGAAAAGCATGCATTTTCTTGTAATTGATACGAATTTTCTGAAGAATGCATAAACGATATTTCCTCGAATAAACTTTGATGAGAAATCTGTAGAATTAAAATATGTATAAAAGATAAAAAATGTATTTAATATCTAAAAACTAAAAATGTATATTTTAATATTTAATAGCAAAAGATAATTTTATTTTTTTTAACACAAGTTTAATAAAAAGTTGATTTGAAATTTTTTTATCAAAGTGTTCGATATTAAAACTTATAATACTTTGCCCGGTGATCGTCTCAATTTATTTTTCGCAATTAAAAGAAAGATAAAAATAGCAACTGTGCAACTTGAAGAATGTACAGAGAAAAATGTGCGAAACACCTTATATGAAACATTCACGTAATCCGATTTTACTTTCGTGTAGTGGACATACGTACGCGTATGTTGCATAATGAAACGTGGAACATTAACGCGAAACGATTGCCAATTAGCATTGATAAGGGTTTACGTGTAATACCGGACGATTATACGATACCAAGAGCGACAAAGACACAATATTCGTTAGCCAATACAAGTACAAAGAACATACCGATGCTGTTTATTCCGTCAACAATACCGGGATTAATTGAAAGTTCGTAATTTGCAATATTTAGTTTGAATGCAGATCGTATCTATTAAAGTAATTTTGTTGAAATTTCTTTTTATTTTCTCTCGCTCATATATTTTCAATTCTTTATGATATTAGAAAGAAATTCCCATCTCTCTCTCTCTCTCTCTCTCTCTCTCAATATATCTATCGTAAACGTAAGTTAGAGCCTACGAATTGCCTCTCGCTATATCGGTGAACAAAGAATTAACGTTTGAGAGACCATTACAGTGGATCTGCGCTCAATGATTATGTCGAATATCAAAGGGCATACACGTGTGTAAAGGAGTATCTCATTAATTTCGATACTCTCTCTCTCTCTCTCGAATATCAATCCTCGATGATATCGTGCAATGACTGCAGTCACTGCAGTTGAATTGTACAAAAATAAAAAATAAAATCGTTCGAGTGGTCGCACCTCGCGCCAACACTCAAGGGTTGAAATCCAACGTACCCGTGAAGATTATCGCAATTATAGGGTCGATATTCGTCGAAATTTCTCGAAAGGCGCATTAAGCACAGGTGTTCGATTATCGGGGCTTCCGCGCTCGTTAGCTTCCGCAAAGCGCGTGCGGGTAAGCGAGAAGGAAGCGGATCGATCGATCGAGCGCGGCATCATCGGCATATCGCCGCGCCGGCCGGCGCTCGCGAAATTCCGAAGCCGAAAATCTCTCTCGCGTGCGGGCGGCAGGGGATGCTGCCAGTCTGGCCTGCTTGCCTGCCTGCCTGCCTGCCTGCTTGTCCGGGATACTTTCTCTCTCTCCTCTCTCCGCCGGCCGCTATCGATCTTTCCCGGAGGGTTGAGAACGCGCGCGAGAGAGAGAAGACGTCTCCTCGGTATCCCTGCCGCACGTGCGCGCACACACACATATGCACACACACATAGCATACGGAGATGTATACACGCGCGCGCGCAGCTTCACCCACACCAGCTGTAGAAGATAAGCGTCCGTGAGCATCCGCGCACACGCGCACATCGAGCGTGGCTACCTTACCCACGAAGACGATAAGCGTCGGTGTGCGTCTCGCGGAGAGTATCGCACGAGGAGGACCATTCGCGAGTATGTAGTACACGCACGACGATAAACGTCACGTGTCCCAATAGAGAGATACACGGAGTACACAGGCGTATATTCGCGGAGATAACACTGGGATGCGCGTTCGATGCGACGATAGTACACCCCAAGACGGTCGACGGACGACGCGCGCGGAGCGGAGAAACCGTGGGAGGCTCGGACGCGTAGCCAGCCGAGCTCCTCGCCGCGCCGCTCTCCTCCTCGTCGAATACCCGCGTCCGCCTGACCCGACAGGCCGAGAGGGAGACTTCAGTAAGCTCGGAGCTTTCGACCGGTCCGCACGCCATTCGACATCATCGCCGACCGTCGTCGAGACCGCGTCCCGGCGCGAAACGCAGCCGTCACGCGATTAGTATTGCGTGCGTGATCGTCCCGGAACCGGGATATCCTCCCGCGACCCACACTCCCGGTTTCGCGAAATCCTTCCCCGGAGAGAATCAGGACGAGTCTTCTGAAATTAGAATGAAGATCGAGCGGATAAAAGTTGCGGAGGGTGTTAACGAGCTGATCTTAAAACGTGACATTAACGAAACGGGGTGATGATATTGTGAGTCGTTTGATCCGTCGAGAGAATCGAGGATCCCCCCGAGATCGACCTGTCACTAGACGTCGGTTGCCAGCTGACCAGTGCGAAGATCCAAGAGCTTCGTCTTTCTTACGCAAACGAGAGAAGGATGGGAACGTGGAGGACCAGTTCGCGAGGAAGACGTGCCGGTCGACGCGATTTCGAGTTGATGATCGCGCGTCATCGGGTCACGCGTTGATCCTGTCCCCCGCGAGAGATCGGAGCGAGTCTACGATAAATAACTCGTGGGGAAGACGCGGGGGAAGGGCTTTTCTATTTGCGAGGCCGACGACGGGGGGACGATCGAAGCCGCGTGCGGAGGAGGCGATGATCTCGCTCCCGGAAGCAGTCGGAGATCCTCTCGTTTAGAGCTCACACCGATCACGCGTGATCGCGACGATTCTATCACTACTTTGACGAAGGATAAAGAGGGGTTCCAATCAGCCGATTAGTTTCGCACGTAACGTAATACGCTTAAAAAAATAAGTTGATATAGTGTGAAAAAACAAGGAAATTAAATAATACGCGCGCGCGAAAGATAATGCAATAAAGTGGGAAGATCGCGGATCGATTGCGTTTATCGTCGATCGTCGAGACTTTTGCGATACGGCGCGATTTTGCGAACGATAGAAGAACGATGGAGAACATGCCGTGACGGATATATCGAACGGCGACGAACTTGAACGTGAAAAAAAATACGCGAGTTACGAGTATGCGTCTGCGTGATCGCGCGACGATGTTTCGCGTTTCCGAATTTCGCTAAACGGCGAGACGAAAACGTAACAAACAATAATCGATCGAATAATTGACGCGCTTGCAAAGAAGGATATCGACGCAGTGACAGAAATATGTTTATCGAGAAGAAATTAAAAATAAAAATGAGAAAGATGTGCGATTTCTGTGTACATTCGTGATACGCTCGATGACGCTTATTTTGAAGATAAATAGTGACGAATTTCTCTTGGAATTCTTCTCGTGGTCTGCTGAAATAATGCTCCTTCGACGGTGGTTGTCGACGAAGGACTCGCGATTATACGTAAAGGGAAACGAGCTTTCACGTGCAGCGGGAAACCACGAGTGACATTTTGCAGGAGTGATGGCTATTTCGGGCCAGACACGCGGCTGTGCTGCATTTATAAGACGATCCTCGCGAACGATTTATCGCAGGTGAGCAATACAGATGGCTTTGTTTGCGCTGGTCAAATTGGCGTATATTTACTCTTAGTATTGTGTAAGTAAACAATCAAGTTCGTGTTAAAAAGAACTGATTTGTTTCGCAAATTCTTAAATATATGAAATGTATAAAAAATATGTAATATATCTAGAAAATATTATAATACATACATATATATTTACATTTATATTACTTGCGAAATTAATTTGAGAAAATTACTTTGATAGCCTTTTCAAATATAATGATATGGTAATAAACATTATGAGGTACATTGTAACATGTGCGCCACTAATAGCAGTCGAGAGTTATAAGTTATCAGAGGTAAAGGGCTTTTATTAGATCAAACTTTATGACGCAAATAAGCCACAAAACGTGCGCTAATTGTCATTTAAATATAATTTTAAGAGATGCCTCTATATATACATATATTATACATAAAAGCATGTATTTTTATCATTCAAAAATTGAGTTAAGTAATAATATAAATTCAAAGCCCGTTCAGAGATAATACATGCTTTAAATATAATAATAATAGTTTATTTATCGAAATGTAATACGATTTTAAACGATGCATTTCATAAGAAAAATAAAATTATACGCTACGCGATGTGCTTGAATATAATAACAAATTCGCAAAATTACATATCTACGCATGTCGTCATGACATGCCAATTATCCGTAGTTTCGGTTCCAATTTAATGGATAAAATGTCGGAGTTACGAGAGCGAGAGATGCACGCGGGAAGGATAATCATCGACAGGAAACGTATTAACAAGGGACTTAATGCGAAGCGGTTATTCTCGTTGAGAATTGCAGACGGCGGCTGCAGCGGCGACGGCGGCTGGACGGCTTCTTCATGAATATTGAATCGCATAATTTCATAATTCAGTGATTAGACGTGGATTTCCCCAGTGGGTCGTTGCCTTCAATTCCCCCCTCTTCCCCCCCCCCCTTTCCCCCCGCGAGAGGAAGAAGCAAAAGAGAACGAAAATGCGCGAGGGGAAGAATTAATGAGGGAGGAAACAGAACCTCGCGCGAATTACATAAGTCGTACATGAAATATAAAATTCATATAATCGTCCTGAATCTTTGAAATTTGTAAATGACGTTCCTATCATTCGCGTATCATAAAATCATCAAACATTTTTCTAACAGTCGTATTATAATTTTGTTACCTAGATTATTCGAAACGACAGCAAGTGAAAAATCGCGAATTACATTAGCGTAAAAATTATGTTAATCAAACGTAAAGCGATAATATGGGAAGTTGAATTCTCTACATATTATCACTCTGTATACATATTCATATATTAAAAATCGATACGAATTGTTGAAGAGCATTCGTCTATAAATAAAGTAGGGGCTTTGCGCTATAACAACAACAATCATGTGGCTGAATCTTTGTTGTCGCGTGTAATATAGCAAAAAGTTTACTCGATTGTTTATTTAAGTTAATGTAATTCGTGTTACTCGATTTATTTCTGTCTGCTGATAAATCACAAAAAAAAAGCAAAGAATAGTATCACGGTCTCAGAAAATAAAATATAAATAAAATAGAGATAAAATAATCGAAAAAAAAAGATATTTCGCTTCACGAAGAAACTACGAATTTCTTTCAGATTCGAATTTTCGGGACCCGTAAAGATAACGTCGGGAAATAATGAGATGTGAAGGCTCTTCACACATACGGCTGTGGTGGCAGACATAACTGAACGTTCCTATTCGATGCACGTTATATTAAGCTCAAGGTGATATGGAAGCGGAAGACGAAGTGGATGATGAGTTGTCGGAGGCTGCCGACACGGAAGTAATTAAAGAAACTGCATAATGTGCTTTTGTCGTCATAATTATACAATTGCGTTTTGACAATGCTTAAACAAATCGGGAATACTTTGTGACCAGAGCTCGAATATTTTAAAGAATGATTAAAAATTGTCAGAAAAGAAAATAATAAGTATAAAAAGATAGGAATGATTATCGTTTTAAATACTTTGTATAAAAGTAGCTCAAAAATTTAAATAAATATTACTATTATTTTAAAGAGTAATGTAAATTTCATTTAAAAAAGCTTTAATATGTCAAAAACTAAAAATTATGTATGTTAAGATAATAATATTTAAATAATTGAATAAGGAAAATAATTAAAGAGAGAATTAACTTGCAGAATATCTTTGAAAAACTATTTCTTCGAGAAATATTTTATAAAACCACGAGTTCTGCTCACGATGTAATAACATAAGTGAATATTGTGTGCAATTTTTTTCTATTATTTATATTGCAAATCAACTTGATATATGTCTAAGATAAAATTAAAAATAAATATTATAGCATACGAACAGATAATTTCGTTACAATATTTTTTGTAGGCGAACCACAACAACAACCTCGAAAATTTCGAGACGATGAAAATCTCTACGAAACCGGTGTCCGAGAGAACGCCGGAGAAAAACAACTGTTCTTTAGTGCGCTCGTCTAATCCGGAGCAATCGGAAAATGTCGATTCCGTCGACGATAGTCCCGGAAAGTTAAAAACGTCCGCGCGACCAAAATCAAAAATATCTCTAAGTACAAGCACAAAGACTGACACGAAGGAAGTTGAGATCGCCAAGCTGTGCAGAAGTAAGAAGGTCAGCTGTCAGGACACCATACACGAGTACGACGAGGACGACAACCTTACCATGGATAGAGTTGGAAGGTACTTAATTCATATTAATTTACAATTAGTCTTGCCCCTCTCCCTCAAATGATCATATTATTAAACTAATTGTTTCTGAAACTTCCTAAAAAAATTTTAACGTTAAATATGTATTTAAGCGTTGTCAACATATTAGATTTCACAAATTATTTTTAATTATTTTATTTTTTAAAATTATTTATGCAGAAATATTTATTAATATTGTTATCATATAAATATATATTATACAAAAAAATTAATAAAATTAATAAAAATTTTTGTGTGTGTATATGTGTGACATAAACTTGACACGATCTTATGTATGCAAATTCGCATACATAATTTCAATATTTTGCACACATTATGTCAAATTTTTGAATGGCAAAGGTACCTGGAGGCGAATCCCGCTCTAGCCGAAACGTGGTTACGAGAGAAAGCAAGCCTCCAACTTCGGCAACGATTGCAAAACACGTGTACGCTGCAAACGATAAGACCAAGCGCTCAGCACGTGCAGCAAGAGGAGAGTCTTCTCAATCGGGGCAAACGCAACAGCGTTACATCCGATCTCTTTCAGACATGGTTGGCCTCGAGCTCACCTGCGAAGCGCAGCAGAAGCCCCAACAGGTAACCCGTGTAATAATAACGAAATAAATATATCATAGTATTGTCTCACAGCTTCATGTTACACACAATTAAATCGTATCATATTAAAATATATATCTATTTTAAAATAAATCGTAATATAATATGTAGATATTCTACATTTTTTTCATACATATTTTAATGAAATAATAGACATTATTTAATATTATAAAAATCGTTTTCGAATTTTCTCCCCTATGGCAAAACTCGTTTTACATTTATACGAACTACGTACTACATCTTTTAGGACTCACAGCTCGCTGATGGGTCGTCGCGAGGAGCTCGGCAAGCTGGACGAGAGCGATTTGTTCATGGAGCTGATAAGGGATGTGGCAAACGAGCTGGACATAAACATCCTCTGCCACAAGATCTTGGTGAATGTCGGCCTACTTACTCATGCCGATCGCGGCAGTCTATTTCTGGCGAAGGGACCTCTGGAGGATCGGTATCTCGTGGCAAAGTTGTTTGACGTCAGGCAAGACACCGAGCTCGAGGAAGCCGTTCAACGAGCGAAGAACGAGGAGATCAAAATACCGTTCGGAGTCGGTATCGCCGGTTACGTGGCGCAGACCAAGGAGATTATCAACATCAAGGATGCTTATAAGGTTTCTCACATCTTACGTGTTCTCTCTAGGTTTAATCGATTCGACCCGCGTGATTAAAATCTTCTGATTCAATCTTATGGCGTTACGATTATTACAAATGATAAAAAAAATATCGCAATTAATTTTCTGAATAATTCCCTCTAATGGCTAATTAATCAATGATGAGTCTTACGCCTTCGATATTGTTAAGATTAATATTTCTGTTGAAATTTATCAGGATCCGAGATTCAACAGCGCCATCGATATGCGGACCGGGTATAAAACGACATTAATTCTATCGATGCCGATCTGCAATTACGAGGGCGATGTCATCGGAGTCGCTCAAATCATCAATAAGACAAACGGCAGCAACGAATTTACTGACAGAGACGTTGAGGTGTTTCAAAGGTAAGTGAAAGAGGCCAGAATTACACGTAGAAAATATCTTGTAATAAAAAGTATCAGACGCTTAGGCAGACTCGTTTAGAGCAAAAGCATTAACTGATTGCATAATGATACAAGGCCAGTTATAAGATGTTGTAATTGCCGTGTACGCAATTATAATCGGCGCCGCGCGCGATCGATACGTTTATTAATACAATCGCGCATCTAATTTTATCTAACGTATCGATTGTCATAGATACCTCACGTTCTGCGGTATCGGTATACAGAACGCGCAATTGTTCGAGCTGTCCGTGCAGGAATACCGGCGCAATCAGATACTCCTCAATCTGGCGAGAAATATATTCGAGGAGCAAAATAATCTCGAGTGTCTCGTCACGAAGATCATGACCGAGGCGAAGGAGCTCCTCAAGTGCGAGAGATGCGCCGTTTATTTGCTTGACTTGGATTGTGGCGAGGCAGTAAGTGTACTTTCTATTCGCGAGAGAGAATTTAAATCCTTGCGTAATATTCCTTGTGAAGTATATATCATCGTTGAATCGCGAAAAATCTAGAGAATGATTCTCGAAATTGACTATGTGTATCGAAAACAGACAGACGCGCTCAATTGATTGAACATAATATTCGATTAACCAAAAATCTGGCGCGGCTATTATAAGAGCACAATAAGAGATGCTAAGTCTCGCGGTTCTAGGGGCATCTCGAGAAAATCGTCGAGCGGCCCGGGAAATCGGTGCAAGAGAGCAGAAAGCCGTTGTCGAGAAGAGAGGTGAGTGGCACCGTCACGTGTTACTCGAATTCGTAAGTCTGATGATCTTTTTCTCTTTCCTGGCGGCTCAGAGCAACAACATCGACATGGAGGACATTTTTCAACAGCACGTGAGTGATCCGATTGATTTTACAAATTGAGATATATATGGATAAAAATCAAAATGCGCACTTTTTTTCTAGCACTCCCCGATGAAGTAAACCGATATTTCACTGTTTCTTCGCTTTACTCGTGTGACGTTAATTAAATTCATTTGAGATTTTAATCTTCCCAACAGCAAAAAAATCTATAGATTTTTTTTTTAGATTTTTTCTAGAGAAGATTTTCGAGCTTTAAATATTGTCTCGTTAAATACAATTTGTTATAAGGTTTATAATATATTCACATCAAGTAACTTGAAAATAATGTTACTTGAAGATAACGTTAAAGAGATATAAAAATGAAATTAATAATAAAAAAATATTGCTAGATAATTTTTTTTTACAAGACACTATTATATTATTTCCATTTTCCTCAGACATCGATCGAAGACACCAAATTCACCATGGTCTTTGAGATGGAGAACGAAACGCAGGAGGCCCGAGTCTATCGACCAAGCAACAACGATCTTACGAGTCCCTTGGGACAGATCGCGAGATATGTCGCCGCGACGGGTCAGATTCTCAACATTGGTGACGTCGCCACGTGGTTGAAGAAAGACGTAATGGAGAACAGGAGGAATCCCATTAGGAGTATCCTGTGCATGCCGATCGTTAACGGGCAGAGGATCGTCATCGGAGTTGCTCAATTGATCAACAAGGTCTGACTTAATAATATTCTACAATAATCTTGAATAATCTATTATAATCTCTTGTCAATAATTTGCATGCATCGTAAATACTTTGCATTTAATCCGTAATAATCTTTAATATAATCTGCACGTTGTGTCATATAAATACAGCGATTATTATATTGCTGGTTTTTTAAAATAATATGTTGCTTGAGTGTGCAAAATATCAAACAACAATAATTTATGTACGTATGTATCTTCATATATTGTCGCGGGCAATTAAAATTATATAAAAATTATACAGAATATAATTTGAGACGATTATTTATGCTGTTGATATTAATACTGCCGAATAGATTTGTAAAAAAAAAATACTTTTTTATCTCAAGAGTATCACATAAATATATCGTATGATATCATATATGTATAAGGAGATAATCTCCTTTATAATAAAAAAATCGTCGCGAGTAAGACTAATTTTTCACAGTGAAAGAAATTTTTTACAGGATAACGGCACGTCTTTCACCGACTCGGACGTGTCGATATTCGAAGCGTTCGCCATCTTCTGCGGTCTCGGCATAAGCTGATGGCGAAGCAAAAGGTGGCCCTGGAGTGTCTGAGTTATCACGCGACCGCCAACAACGAAGATGCTCTGCGACTCGTCTCCGATACCATACCGTCCGCGGAAACATACAATCTTTACAGTTTCACGTTCATTGACTTTGATCTCACCGACGATGACACGTGTCGCGCTACCATCAGAATGTTCAAACAATGCGATCTCATACAGAAGTTTCACATACCGTACGACGTCCAGTGCAGATGGATACTCAGTGTGAAAAAAAATTACAGGTAAATATATGTATATATTTCAATCTCGTTTCTCATCTCACAAATTTTTCCTCGTCTTTTGATTACATTCGTCATGCTAAATTTAGTTTTATCGTTCAAAATAATGTTTTTAAAAATACTCTAAACGTACGATTTTAAATAAAATTATAAAAGTAGAAATTATTTTTGACAGGCCAGTGAAGTATCATAATTGGCGGCACGCGCTAAATGTCGCGCAGACAATGTTCGCGATGCTGAAGACCGGCAAGATGGAACAATTCATGACTGATTTAGAGATTCTCGGCCTCCTGGTCGCCTGTCTCTGTCACGATCTGGATCATCGCGGTACCAACAACGCATTCCAGATGAAAACGGAATCCCCGCTGGCAATCCTGTACTCGACCAGCACAATGGAACATCATCACTTCGATCAGTGCGTCATGATTCTAAATTCCGACAGCAACAATATCTTTCAGAATCTGTCGATGGAGGACTACAGACGCGTGATGAAAGTCGTGGAGAGCGCTATTCTATCAACGGATCTGGCAATGTATTTCAAGAAGAGGAATCGTTTTATGGAGGTGATCGACGAGGGCGAATTCGATTGGCAGAGCGAAGAGAAAAAAGAGCGTAAGACCCTTTGATGTTTTATTTTATATTTAATCTATTCGTTAATTTTTTTCTTCATCTCAAATATGACTAATTAATCGATTATTTTTTCGCAGTACTATGTGGTATGATGATGACGGCGTGTGACGTAAGCGCGATAGCAAAACCCTGGGATGTGCAGCATCGCGTGGCGAAGTTGGTGGCCGACGAATTTTTCGACCAAGGCGATCTAGAGCGTTTACAGCTCAACCAACAACCGGTGGCGATGATGGACCGTGAAAGGCGGGACGAATTACCGCAGATGCAAGTCGGTTTCATCGACGTCATTTGCCTGCCGCTCTATAAAGTCATGTCGGAGACGTTCCCATGGATACTACCACTCTACGAGGGTACCATGGAGAACCGGAAACACTGGCAGGACTTGGCGGAAAAGGTCGAGATGGGATTGACGTGGATCGATCGCGACACGATCGAGGAACCGGTGGAAGAATTCGTCTCTTACGAACCTAAAGATATCGAGTTCACGGTTACGACACTGAACTGCGCTCACGCCGATAAAAAGGAACAAGTGCCGGAAAAGTCGACGCTTGGTAGATTCGCCTCGTTGAGAAAGGGTGGACGTACGTTGAGCAAAGGAGTCCGACATCGTATCAGCAGATCTCTCTACGCTAGAAGCAGTTCGGAGGACGCCGGCAAATCGAAAGCGTTGCTCCCAGAAAGAAAGAATCGGAACAAACTGTGTCTACTCATTTGACGGCTAACTTCGACGACACTTGAGAGCATTCCCGAATGATACCATATTAATGATATTTGGAAACGAATATTTCAATATACATCGTGGCTCTTCCAGATCGCGGAAAATTAAATGCCGATGCGATTTTCTGGAAGCTAAACACTTTGACAGATACTCCGTGGATAAGCGTGGCTGTTATTGAGAAAAGAGATTTTTAGGATGAACTTCTTAGAAATCGCTGTTACGAGGATAACATTATCTGCTCTAATAAAGCAGTCGAACTACTCTCGACGAGAGAATAATGCCGAAAAAATTGTTAAAAAAAATGTTTAAGCTACTTTTGCAGTAACGAAATATTTATGGGAAATGAATCCTTTTCAAAAACTCTCAGAAGAGAAAAGAACGTTGATATTTGTAGAAATTGTCTTACCACAACTACAATATTTGCAATTCAAAATAATTGTTTGATAAGATTTAAAATTGATCAAAATAAAAAAATAGAGAAAATAGCAGTGAAAAGAAATAATGATATAAATTTCGCAAATTGTGAGACTCAAAGATACGAAAGAAAAAACAAATTTAACTAAATCTGAAAAAATTGACGAAATATTAACGAAATATATCGACGAAAAAAAGTTGCAGCAAGTCAAAAAATATCTCAAAAGAATATTTAAAATCGAAGTAATTAAGAAATTTTACATTTTTTATCAAAAATAAATTAATTTAATTTTTCAAAAATCGATAGTTCCATAATCGCTCATATAATATATACGAAAATAAAAAATCTTGATATTATTTGATCGAATTAAACACAAATTCAAATCAAAATATTCAGAGAAAAGATATCTTATTAACGCGAAATTTAGTACGAAAAAGAGACAAGATTATATAACAGGAGAAACAAATATTAACATTAACAGAGGAAGGAAACATATACTCGAAGATGTCTTATATTGATTCTGATGTACTCTTTGCTATGTCATTGTGTCAGACGTAGAAAACGACGAATCAAAATCCGCAGTAATAATGCTAATAACGAACTTTCGCGATACAAAGTCAACGAACCGAACCTAAAGAAAAAAGAAGAAAATAAAAAAGAAAAAAGGGAAGAATATCCAAAGTGATGTCTCACGAAAAAAAACCGGATCCCGAGAAGACTGTTGCCCGTAGATTTTAAGGCGATAATACATAGACACGGTATTACGTAAACGTGTACATTTAGTCGATGGCTAGGTAGCTAGAGAACTTGACGGTCGGTCGTTGCACCTCACAACGACATTGCTCATAATCGCAATCCCGTAGAGCGCGAGGGAGTGTGCTATATGTGTGTATGTGAACACGTTGGGCGTCATCGGATGATAATGATGATATGATGAAGAAGAATTCAATTTTGACAATCTTTTTGTATCACATCTCAATGATATTCTAGGCTATATGTATTGTTCGGCGGGTGAAGGGATCGAGGACGTGCAAAGTCGGACTCGCGGACACGCTGCCCCACGATATGCAATTCAAATTAGAAACGAGTGCAATTTTCAATTGCTTTTGTTATTTCAGATCTCTCCTCGCAAAAGCGATCTCCGCGATAATGAAGATGAGAATTAAATTGATACGGTTAAGATAAAAAAGAATTGCTCAAATTGATTTCTTAATTTTAATCAAGTCCGGTGTTCTTAAATTTTTTTTTTTTAGCAGAGTTTCGAGTAAATAAGTTCAAAATATTATAAATTCTGTAAATAAAAAGTCTCAAGTAAATGCATTAAAAATATTTTAAATTCTGTAAGTATAGCGAAGCTTCGCATTTACAATTTTGTAAAAACGTAATCGGAAGTAAGGCGAATTAAAGTGTTTTAAGATCGTGTAGATAAAAAATTTTAACTCTAAGCGCAAAAATTTCAACGATTTTAAATTTTGTAAAAAGATATATAAAGAATATATTTTAAAAAAAGAGTAAGCACACGCGCAACATTTTCAATTTCGTATGTGAGAAAATAAAAAATTTTATTTTCTTTTATGGAACTTATGTAGCTGGCTTGAACTGTAGTTGCGAACACGATCGCATATTCATCATTAACTCTCATCATATATATGTACATAACGAATCATATATGAGTATATAGCGAGCGGCGGCACTTTGGTATCGCGGTTAATCAGCGCTCGTAAACGGAGGCAATGATAGGATTAAATCGTGCACGCATGCACGCATGCAAACGTACGTAATCCGTGACGCAAGCATGAACGCGAGTCCACCGCGATTATTTCCAGTTCGAGTTTTGTACATTGACCCTTCGGGAGATCGCGACAAACGCGAATATTACGTTCCCTCATTTGCATTTCCGTTATTCCATCATTACGCGTGTCCTGATCTCGGAGAACGACTCCGATAATCTCAGGGCAATCTCAGTGCGCGGTAAAATTTTTTCTTCTTTTTTTTTTTATTCGCGTTATCGTATCAATTAAATTAAACGACAGATATCTCGGATGGAAAATTTGCGCGTAAATTTGCGAAATCGGTGTTACTTCCTACAGAATTTCTCAAGCGCATTGCGTTTTCGGATGTGAGTCTGAGAGTTAAGCAACACGAAAGTGAGACTGGTTTCTAGTCTTTTGATATAGCTGCGAATCAATATGCCTATCAGAAATTGTTGCACACGGTCAAATAAAATCTGGATGTGCTCAAACCGCGCGAATGTGTCAAATTATTTTAAACCCTTTACACAATAACATAGTAAAGTATAATTCTTACGAATACGATTCTTATAAATACACTATTTTTATTTAAATCTTGTTTTAGCAGAATATTATTCGAAAATCATTATTTTAATAAAAAACGCATTATTTTAATACAAAAAGTTTACTATTACAAAATCTGAAAAAATATTAAAAGAAATATTGTTAAAAAAAATTTATTTTAGGAATATTAATTTATTTCTATTGTCATTATTTTAATAAAAAAATTAAATATTGTTATCTGGAGAAAATACCGTTTAAAAGCTCGTGAAAAATTAATTGTTAATTTTTTTCTATCATCATTATAATTAATGAGCCTCCTAAGAGTTTAGATTTTAAATTGTCTAAAATAAAATATTATCAAAAATTCTGTAAAGCTTTCCAATTATCAAATATCTTTTCTGTTGTCTCTCAAGGAGGAAAGCCTTGATATCGCCAATCATCGGTAATAACGGACATCGGCTCAGGTTTGGTCCCACGCAAAAGTATACATTTAATATATTTTTTGCAATTTCCATTTACAATTTCAAAATGTTTATATAAATGATAATATGGAAATATAACACATACCTGATGATAACACATACCTGGTACATTCGTTGCGCTTTCGCTATGTATGTACTTGGGCAGAAAATGGTTTTGAAGAATGATTTGAAGATGATTCGACCAATCTCGATGAATTTCATGCAGGACGGCACTGGACAGCACGCAGGAATGGATTCCGATGCTGAAATCACGATATCGGTGATAACAATGATTGTACGCAATGTTTAACATAGAACACTTTACAAGAAACATTAGCGATAATCTTTCGCGCGTGGAGACTCTTTTTCAAACAGTAACGATCCCGACAAAAGTACGGAGCAAAGTGAAGGCGCGCGCGTTTCGTAACGTTACCGTAACATTAACCGCCATTCAAATTCGGAAGATTCGATATTGCAATTTTCGGAGAGTATCGAGACAGTCAAAATATTTCGAGCGAATCAATCGCAATAATTAGACAAAATAATGAGAATAATTAGAAAAGAATATAATCGTTGTAGCTTAATATGATACACCTTACCTAACACGTTGGCTGCACTTTGGCGGGAAAGTAACGCGATGTAATGATACGCGACAACGAGACGGATCGCAGTTACCGAGATCGCGATACTGACGTATAATATCGGTCGCACTTAATATTCATATAACAAACGCTTTATAAAACACTCCCGATAACTTTTCGCGCGCGAGATTCGCTTTTAAGTGATAACTATCGCGGAAGATATACAGAGCCGTTGTGATCCGCCGCGACGCGTTCCGTGACTGACTACGATTTGAAGTCCGTCGAGAAGTGGTGCTTGCGATTCTCGAAATATCGAAGCAACGCCATCTGCTTTCTCCACTGGTCACGATGTTTGAGAGGACATAGTGCATGGTAAATTTTGCAAACTCTGCGGGCGGGTTTTTTAAATATGTTACCATGAATCATATTAATATGCTTATATAAATAGAATCGTAAAAGTATGAAGACTATATTATATATAGACCATATTGATATGTTCATTAATGCTACGTGTCAAATTATCGACGGGGAATTAAAAATAGCCTCCAAAGCAAGATATATATGAGCTCTTACGCCGTTTTAATTATTAAAACATTTAGAAATTACATTCGTAACACGATGGTGTCCTTTACATCTTACGGATCTCTCATCAATCCAATATTGGTCCTACTAAATTAAATTAAGTATAAACAACGATTTGCTTCCTTTTCTTTTATACTTCGTGTGTCGACGATTAATTCGCTATATATACATTATATGCAAACATACACATATGTTGCATGTAGTCAGAGCACCATGTACGTCATATTGCGACGTGTAAAAGAATTGGGCAATAAAAAGAAAGCCTTTCCATAATATCGCTTCCTGTATTAGAAATCATCTTTCTTTCGTTTGGAAAAATCGACGGGTCTCCTTCAGTCATCTCTCTCTCTCTCTCTCTCTCTATCTATCTATCTCTCTTTCTCTCTTTGATGCTCTCCGGCTCGTACGAGGTTTTTTTTTCTACACGCTCGTCCGCGCTAGGAAATCGTACGCAGAGGCAGTGACACGCTGATTTGGCAAGATTCTTTTAGCAATACGTCGCATTACAACGTCAGACAGGCGCTCCGCGAGCATTGTGATCAAGAACGAGAGAGATCGTTCGCCATTTGTATGCGATACCGCGATAAGTATATCGTAAATCGAGAATCGCAATCTAAACTTGGTTCGACGATCTATGCCAATGCTTGATCAAGTAATGCTGTGCCAAAGAAAATTGTATTGTTCCTGACGACCTTTGTTGCGACACTTTAGGCTCCCAAAGTGCGAATAAAAGAAAGTAAATGTATAGACATGGTGTTGCGTCGTTGTATCGTTTGAGATCATCATTTACAACTAATTAACAGAGTAGCGAAAATATCCAGTATATCGCGAGCGGATCTCGAGGACTCGCGTACGGAGATCGGCGACGATAGCCAACGGGCGTTCAGTTTCCACTAAGAGAGCGGACTAAAGTGACGTATGAAATATCTCGCGCTGTATCGCAAATGGTTTCGGCTAATCCTTGATCACAATGCCAATCGATTTGAATTCGTAATCTACTTTTTGTATCACGGCGTTTATGTATATTATTTTTTTTTTATTTTTTAGCCAATCCTCGGGTTTCCCTAATAGCGCAACGAGTGCTTGTATAATTTCGATCAAATTCCATCGTTTTTTGTTGTCGAGAGGCATCCATTCGCGCCGAAACACCACAACCGATATATGCACGTAAATATGCGAAATGACTTATGTTTTTTTGCACGCGGATACATAAGCGCAATGGAAGATACATCGCGGAAGATGAGAAGAATTCGGAATCATTCGTTTGAGCGTTCATCGAGAACGAAACTCATTGAAGTTTTCGGTTAGGTTTTTCGGTGGAATGAACAAAACACACGCACCATAAACGTTAAAATCGAATGCTATCATTTCATTAAATAATTCACGCAAACACGCATTTCATTCACGTCTCGTTAATTAAATGCAGATGATACGATAAAGTCATAAATGAACAGTAAAAAAATATGTAGACCCCATCGTATACATGACGAGTCAAAGTAGCGGCTCGCGATAAACAATTCGATTGTTCAATCACATATTCGAGTATAAACAACGAAATTACTTTTTCCTTCTCCGCAATCTTTGATTCGCCACGTACACTTCATATATACTTTCGTATGTTACATGTTCTGTACGCATATAGAAAATTGAACTTATATAAGTGCCACGGCTTCGTTACACATCCACGCGCTTCGATGCATGCTTTCTCTCTCCCTCGAAAAGCTGCCGTTTAGGATCGAGACACCACGAACGCCAATGAACGCGAGACTCTCTCGTCGCAATTAGGCCAACTTTGTGTAAGCTTGTTATTTTAATTAGATTGATAGGTAAATCTACGACAATGAAATCTTCACGAATCGTTCGCTCCTACATACTTCCGTTTCCAGCGGATTTTCACACACGTATTTTATCGTTATTACGATATTTTAGGACTAAGTACGACTAAGTTTGACCCGATGCAAGAGAGTTTCAGCTCATTGCGCGCGTATTCGGCAAGATTAATCGTGCAAGATGCACCTGAGCGACCTGCGGCCTACAAGATATCATCGTTAATTCTTTCTAGCCTCACAGAATTCCTGCACACTGCGCAACCGACTCAAACCAATCGGTATGCCCCGTAATCGTGCCGACAGGCACTCACGAGCGCGTGCATGTCCGTGATTCTGACGAGGTAATGTCCAGAGTGCTGCGCGGGGGGTCACATGAAGAACTCCCTGGATCGGCTAATATGCAGTCACGACGCAGGTCTATCCAGTACCGAGATCTCTATTAGCCTAAATCCGCGGGTCGTTGGATCCGTTAATAGAAGGCCGCGCGGCTTGTACACCCGATCATTCTGCTCGCTGACAAATTTGGCAATTTTGCGTAGACATTTCTCATAATGCGTCTCGGTACATATGCTTATCAGATAACCCGTGAGACAGTATAGGCAGCTCTCGCAATAGGTAGAACAGCTGGCACGCTCCGCTTCCGCGAAATAGTTGTTCAACTGATTGATCGTGTACTCGAACAACTGTCTGTCCAGCTAAATCAGGACATACGCCGTAATAAATATTTGTCAATCGTTTCTCTTTTTTATTTTCGAAGGAAGTTTCATTATAACCCGCGATTTTTACAGATTATATATTATAGAGATCCAAACATTTAAATTATTTAAAATACTCACTCTACTTTCCAATTCTGTCGGAAATCGCGTTTGAAATTTAACCATCGTTCCTTCGCTATAGTCACGCTGTACAAAAACCTTCTGACAATTCTGAGGAGGCCCTCCACCTGCCTGCCCTCGTCCTGCAGACATGTCTTCCAATGGTGTGAGGGCAGCATGATTGCTCTGAAAAAATGATATAGCCATTTTCATTTTTATCTTATGTTAGAAATATTTGATTAAATCTATATTTTACTATTAATCTGTAGTCTACTACTTGATTTTTCACAGATATATAATAACATATTTATAACAAATTTTCATCCATATTATATATATATATATATATAACTTATAACAAATAAAAAATATTGAAAATGATGCTGCGTATCATTTTTGATTTTGATAATAACGTTAATATTAGAGATTCTCTTGTACCTAACGTACTTTTCTCTCGTGAATAACATCTTCAGGCAGTACGCATAATGACTTCTTCGAACTTGTGCTCTATAAAATAAAATGTAACATTGATGCATCGTACAATCCATCTTCATATCTTTTCATTTAGAAATTCTGTTACTTTAATCTACCCCCCTTTTTTCGCAGACATCATGATATATGCTTGATATATTTTCATACATTAATTTCTATCAACTAATATAAATATTACAACACTGGACAGATATTGCTAATATTGAAAATAGCCATTATTTGACATTACCATCAGCACGCATACATTGACATACTTTCCTGTCATTACTGACCCATTTAAACTATACTCCCGACAAAGTCTTTAAATCTTATTATGCATGAAATGCAACTGAACGTTAATTCTTGATTCTTCAATTTCTCGCTCGAAAAGTCTCATATTTCCTTTTATTTTGCTTGCAGCTAACCACAAAACCGCACCCAGGTCTCACCTCGAAAATCGCGAAGACAGACAGTCGCATTCTCGCTTGTCAATTAAATACCGACTCGACAGACAAGAGAAGACATTTTCGAGGAACGAATTGTGAAGAGCAGAAGAGTGTTGAAAGTAGGAATGTTTTCGGCCGAAGACTTGACAGCTAGGGTACGAGAAGCTTCCGAGCAAGAGGGAGCAAAGGACAGACGACTCACCAGTGGCATTTTGAGCTTCGTCTTGCCGGCTATATACTGCACGCTTTCGACGAAAGTCCAGCTCGACCCTTGTCGTCGCGTTCGCGGATCGTGCACCCGGTTTCTCGGATAAACGATTATCCGCGAAGATAGCCGTGGGACCACCAGCACTGCACACGAATGGATTCACACGACTCGCGATCGCCATTGAAGGATGCGCGCGCAGACAAGCCTTATAGCGACCAGCTGTGCGACAATTGCAGTTGGCGACAGTGCGATTCTATTTGCTTGCTGCTCCTTTCCTCTCCGGCGCTTTCTTATTCTTCGCAGAGAATCGTAGAGAATCGCAGAGAATACGAAGGAGGGAATGCAAGAAAATTTTACAGAACAGTATTGAAGGTAGTACAGTTGAATAAAGTAAATCCTACTTTTTTCTAATATCCGTTTCTTTTACACTCTTTTTCTGCATTTAAGATATGAGGCCTCTTCGCTTTCGAAGAAGGAGAAAAGGGGAGATTGCAAAAAAGACTTTGTTGGGAAAAGATTGGAATTGGTGAGCTTTTTTTATTCAATTTTATATTTCATATTTCTCTCCTTTTGTGTGTATGTGTGTGCGGGGTGGATACACGAGAAATATATTATGTATAGGGTTTGCAATGTTTTAAGTGATATGCCGCCATATTTAATAAAAAAATTCGAACTTGTGCAACTTATTCGAATTTAACTGCAGTTACCGATAATCGATAATCATATGCCGGTAACATTTATTGCATAATAATCAAATACGCAGAAACCGACTCGGAAGTATAGCGGGTTGCGTAACGAAGGAATAAAAGAGTTATAGAAAAAAAAAAGGAAAAATCATTTACGTTTCACTTTTCTCATTCATGGTATGTTAATATTCAATATATAATTTCTGAGCTATATTTAATGTGTGTGTGTGTGTGTGTGTGTGTGTGTGTGTGTGTGTGTGTGTGTGTGTGTGTGTGTGTGTGTGTGTGTGTGTGTGTGTGTGTGTGTGTGTGTGTGTGTGTGTGTGTGTGTGTGTGTGTGTGTGTGTGTGTGTGTGTGTGTGTGTGTGTGTGTGTGTGTGTGTGTGTGTGTGTGTGTGTGTGTGTGTGTGTGTGTGTGTGTGTGTGTGTGTGTGTGTGTGTGTGTGTGTGTGTGTGTGTGTGTGTGTGTGTGTGTGTGTGTGTGTGTGTGTGTGTGTGATTCAAATATCTCTGGAAGATTTATTTTATGCAAAATCGTAAAAGAATGCAAAAGAATAGTGACTATTTAAATAAAATTCTACATTGCATTATTGAATAAATAAAACTGTAAATTTCTTTACTACAATTTATTGATGACGAGATTAAACGAAGACATATCGGTGAACTAACTGAATTTTCGATCAATCTTTAAGTGATAAAAACGCTGTGAAGTAAGTTACACCCATCTGTATTACCTTAAATCGAATACATAGATGCGTGAATTATTTTATATATAGACAGTTTATAAAATAGAAAATAAATATACTATATACTTTTTGCAATACTTACCGATGCATAAGTCGCTATCGATAGCGGAACCATATTACCTGCCTTTAAATTGCACGGTACATTACTTCTGTAAAGAAGTATAATCAATAGAGATTTTAATCTAGGCGAAAAGTCGTACCATTTTACCGCATATCTATAAACAAAAGTTCCATCGATTTTACTTGAGTTTTTAAAAGTATTTTTTTACATCTAAGCAAAGTTGTTGCACCACGCAATAAGAGAGATAGATATGAATAAATTCTTTACAAATTAATTTTTTTCAAAAATTCTGAAGTAAATTCTAACGTATAAATGATTTCTATATTAATTATATATTTATATTACGGTTTAGTAAAGATATCTAATCAATTATATAAATTTAATTAAGTTTTATATTTGATACATCTTATACATGACTGTATAATTCTCTGTTTCAAAAGAAAAATTTTATACGCATCCATATATGTATATATAAATATTAAGATAAAAAATAATTATATTACGCTTGATAAAATACATTCTGGCTTTCATCTATTAATTTCTGACCGGAGTAACACACAATCAGTAGAATCACCAATGCTCCCATGATTATAAACATAAATCTTGCTATTTCTTCCAATTGATCTAACACATAAACGATCTATAACATATTAAAAATATTATGTAATTATCCCCAAAATAATTTCATTTTTAATTGAAATCGCTAATTTTACCACAAAATTAAAATTAATAAGATTTTATCTATGATTATTAACTTGCAGCTTTTATTAATATTGGAAGATTTGTTAAGATTGATTCAATTAAAAATGCAAGTCTATTGAACGAATCGAACTTATAAATGTAAATAGAAGCCAAGAATAGACAAATTAACTCTCGAAAAATAAAGAATATGAAAGCCCAACTGTATTATATAATTTATTGTCTTGTATGATTATTTATCTATATTTTATGAGATTTCTTATATGAATAATTTTACTTAACACTTACTCGAATTCCAGTTAGACTTGAAATTCCAATAAACAATACTAATAGAAATAATGAAAGCTCTTGATACGACGACTCTAGTATATTAACAAAACTATGGGATAGAAATAGTATTAGCAATTTAGCTTCTAAATACAGATACTAATATTATTACTGATATATTAGATAAATTTATTAATTTTATGCATCTGATATATAAAGAGAAAATTGAGAAATGACATGATAACAAATTGATATCAAGACTGCTTACTTTATAGCAAGCTGATGTTTCTTCAAACATATTATATATTCTCGATATATTATTTCCTCGCTTGACGTATCAAATGTATTCACGTGATATCCATATTTTCTGGTTTCATTGTTATTATCTATTTTCAAAGTGCTTATGATTTCAATTTGCTTACTGCAAATTATAAACGTTATGACATATAATGCAAATTAATTTGTAAAAATTGAAGCAATTCTTAAGTTTTATCAATGATTCTTACATTAATCTTACATTAATTATATTTTTAAATTATGCCTCATTAAAGAGAGATATCTCATTATAAGTTAAAATTCATTTAACTAATCAGTAAAATTAAATAATTCAGTAAATTAAATAATTAATTGTATGTTTATATATATATATATATATGTACAGAAATAAATATATTTGCTGTATTCCTACCTAACAGCCACAAATAAACTGCATGCATGAGTAGTGCACGTGATATGCATCGCGTCAACAGCTACTATAATACTCATACCCACTATAATTATAGCGGTGGTGTAACAGAAAATTGGTAAGAAATACTCATCTTTATCCACTCTGAATTCAACTTCAATCGCGAGGAATCGCGGACGTGACTCGTTAAGAGGCAACACGATATCCAAAAACATCGGTGTTAACGGTACTACTACAAATCCCGACATCATAACATACATTAGCACTGCAATATCATAAAAGAAATGATATTCTTCAATGATATCAATTTTCAAGAGAAACTGTCATCGTTTTCTTAACTAGACTAGGACGAGATGCATGTATCGATAATTTTAATAAATATTATTTATATCCTAATATGTCAATCATAGTATCAAATATCTTTTCGGACAACTTAATTTCATTTAACTAAGATCATGAAATTTTTAATATTACATTACTATATTTTCTATCAACGGATAATACATTGCTCAAAGAATATTATCACATGTTGCACGGTATACTCACTCGAATAATATTTCGTAAATTTTCGCGACAGCATAGAGTAGTCTTTCAAAACTTGAACTTCTACATCGCTTGTAAATATGTTCCAATGCTCGTCGATGGCCTCGTATAATTGTCGAAACTGATCATAACAATAAGAAATCGATGTAATTTATTAAACACGAAAAAGCCATTTAAAAGAACTAAAAAATATGACGACACCTTATAATTCTAATAACGTCATACCTTGTCGTAGTTAAAAAACTCGTTTATCATCCTCACGAGAAAAGAGGCCGAAATAGCAATTTGATAACAGCCTTCAAAAATCATTTGCACATCATCCCAATGATCGTATAATAATAATATCTATGTATAATATTATAAGCCCATGAAATATGTTACAATACATAAAATTATTATATGATCAATTATATATAAAAAAATATTATCATTCTATTTGATTAATTAAATGAAGTGTGTCAAAATATACTATGATAATATTGTATGGTTGTGTGCGATAGAAATATATTGTGGTATTTAATGATTATTGAAATACTCGTGATAATATAATGTATGTATGTATGTATATCGTATGTGTGACAATAGGCAATATTTTAGCGCGATAAGAATTTAAATTAATAAACTAAACAACTAAAAATCTCAGATTAAAATGTTGTCGATCCTATTACCTCGAACGGACAGTAACTTATTTCGAACAGAAAGCAGAAGGTCTGTAAGAAATTTCGCGCGAGCCTATTTTGAAATGGCCAAAGACCTGTGATTGACAAATATAGCCGGTTGATATTGTACTCTCGTAAAAAGTTCGCTAGCATGATGAAACTTTATTTCCTGGTCGGAAGACCGCCACCTAATGACACGTGTCACACACATCCCATCCAATTCTTCGGCATATAAGTCGTGTCGCGAAGGAATCATAGGATGTCAGTCATCATTGACATCATTCTATTATTTGACCAATGATAGAGCATATCTACTCGTCAAAATTGAACCGTCACTTTTTCTGTCTCTGAAATAGCAAGTTCGTTGGACATTTTTGTAGAATGGCGTGTTACAGTAATAAGTACAATGCGATATGCAGCGGAAAATTGAGGGTAAAAATAATAAGGACAAAACGCGCGCTGATTTTCTGGCTTTGCGACGATTGTCTCTCCTTTGATTGCAGAATAGTCGTGTTACGGGGAAATTTTGCACGTCGTCCAAGGATCCTCCATCTCTCAGAAAGCAGCGGGAGATGCTCACGACCGGGTGACGATTTGTGTGGAGGATTCGGTAGATATTGTTTCACGTCGAAGAACTTCTTGAGCTCCTCTGGATCGAAGATGGGATATCTGTAAAACACCTAAAGAGACTACGTTGGAAAAATATTGAAATTGGTGAGCTTTTTTATCTATTTCTATATTTCATATCTCTCCTTTATGCCGTTGACATATAAAAAACATAGTATGTATAAAGTTTTTGTAACGTTTTAAGTAATGCCGTCATATTTGATAAAAATATTCGAAATTATGCAACTTATTCGAACTTAATTACGGCTACCGATAATCGATCAGATATCAGTTATTGCATTATATACTGCACATATACCAACTCGAAGTAAAGCGTTACATAACGAAGGAATACAAATCATAGAAAAAAAGCGCAAAAATAATTTACGTCTTATTTTTCTTTTACAATACATCAATTTTTAATATAAAATGTGTGAACTACATTTAATATAATTCAAATATCTCCTGAAGATCTTTATTTTATGCAGAATCGTAAAAAAAAGTATAGGATAAGAGTGACTGTTTAAATAAAATTCTACATTACATTATCGAATAAATGAAGCCACAAATTTCTTTATTATATTTTATTGATAATGAGATCATGCGAAGACATTTCGGTGAACAACAATAAGTGAAATTTCTATAATCAATCTTTGAAGGATAAAAACGCTGTGAAATAGGATACACTCATCCGTATCATCTTAAATCGAGTACATAGAAGCGTAAATTGTTTTATATATAGACAGTTTGTAAAATAAGAAATAAATGTATTGCAAATAAATTTACAGTTTTACAATACTTACCGCCGCGTAAGTCGCTATCGATAATGGAACTATATTGCCTGCCTTTAATCCGCACGATATATTGCTTCTGTAAAGAAGTATAATCAGTAGAGATTTTAGTCTAGGCGAGAAATCATACCATTTTGTCGCATATCTATAAGCAAAAGTTTTATAATCTATTTTAGATGGGGTTTCAAAAAGATTTTTTTACATCTAACAATAAGCGGACAATTTTTAATCAGTTGCACCATGCAATAAGAAAATATAAGAAATAAATATAAGATCAAAATATAAGATTAAAATATAAGAAAATTTTTTACAAATTAATTTTTTCAAAAATTAAGGTAAATCCTAAGTTAAAAGTGATTTTTATATCAATTATACTTTTAAATTGCAGTTTAGTAAAAATATCTAATCAATATAAAATTCAATTCAATTTTATATTTGAGACATCTTATACATAATTGTTTAATTCTCTGTTCCAAAAGAAAAATTTTATACGCGTCCATATATGTATATATATATTACGATAAAAAATAATTATATTACGCTTGAAAAAATATATTTTGGCTTTCATCCATTAATTTCTGACCGGAGTAACACGCGATCAGCAGAGTCATCAATGCTCCCATGATTATAAACATGAATCTTGCTATTTCTTCCCATTGATCTAATACATAAACGATCTGTAACATATTAAAAATATTATATAATTATCCAAAAAATACATTTTTTGTTAAAAACGCTAATTTTATCATAAAATTAAAATTAGTAAGATGTTATTTAAGATTATTAATTTGCAGCTTTTATTAGCATTGGAAGATTTGTTAAGAAGATTAATTTAATCCAAATGCATCCCTATTGAACGAATCGGATTTTTGTAATATTATTTAAAATCGGAACGAAATTAATTTGGTTCAATAGAGAAAACGTATTAAATTATAAATATAAATAGAAGCCAAGAATAGACAAATTAACTCCCGAAAAGTAAGGAATATAAAAAAAAAACCCAGCTGTGTATTATACTTTTTTTTTGTATGATGTTTACTTATATTCTATGAGATCTCTCATATGAATAATTTTACTTCATGAATGCTTACTCGAATACCAATAAGACTTAAAGTTCCAACACCCAATATTAATACAATTAATGAAAGTCCTTGATACGAGGAATCTAATATATCAACAAACCTATAGGATAAAAATAATGTTAACAACTTAGCTTCTAAATACAGATATTAATATTATTACTGAGATATGTTAAATAGGTACATTATTTTTATGTATCTGATATATAAAGAGAAGGTTGAGAAACGACATGATTAAAACTTAATGTAAAAACTGCTTACTTTATAGCAAGCTGATGTTTCTTTAAACACGTTATGTATTCTCGATATATCATTTCCTCGTTTGACACATCAAATATATTCATCTGATATCCATATTTTCTGATTTCATTGTTATTATTTGTTTTCAAAACTTTACTTTCAATTTCCTTACTACAAATTACGAATGTTATGACATATAATGCAAATTACTTTATCATATATTCATATATATGTAATTATATTTGCAATATACCTACCCAATAGCTGCAAATAAACTACAAGCAATGTAATAATATAATGTATGTATGTATGTATATCGTATGATAATAGGCAACATTTTAGCGCGATAAAAATTTAAACTAATAAACATTAAAAATCTTAGATCAAAATGTTGTCGATCCTATTACCTCGAACGGACAGTAACTTATTTCAAGCAAAAAGCAAAAAGTCCGCAATGAATTTCTCACGAGCCTATTTTGAAACGGCCAAAGACCCGTGCTTGACAAAAATAATCGGTTGATATTGTACTCTCGCAAAAAGTTGACTAGCATGATGAAACTTTATTTCCCGATTGAAAGACCGCCACATAATGACACGTGTCACGCATATGCTATCCTGTTCTTCGTCATATGAGTCGCGTCGCGAAGGAATTATAGCATGTCAGGCATCGTCAACGTCAACGTCAACGTCAATATATTATTTTCTTGATGATAGAGCGTATCTATCTGTCAAAATTGAACCGTCACTTTTCTCCTCTCTGAAATAGCAAGTTTGTTGGACATTTTTGAAGAGAATGGTCTTATAGTAATAAGTATAGTTCGATATGCAGCAGAAAATTGAGGTTAAAAATAATAACGATAAAAACGTGCGCTGATCTTCTGGCTTTACAACGATAGTCTCTCTCTCCTCTGTTTGCAAAATATTTTTCAAATATCTATCAATTTGAAGCATTCCTGGTACTCGAATGTATTCTTTGAAGTGAGTGTATTCTTTAAAGCTGAGAAATAATGGAAATAAAAAAATAAAATTTACTTACAAAAAAATAAATTACATTTTGCACGGAAGACAGTATATAATATATAGAAATACCAATATTGTACAGAGTATTTGAATATATTGTACTGATTTTAATGATAAAATATTATATATGATATGAAGAAGTATCATGTAAAGAAAGGATGTGGAGGATGATGAAGAATTTCTCGCGCTTTTGCAAATGTTTGGCGCTCGGCTATTTTTTTCTCATTAGATTTTTTCTCTTTTACGTTTCTGTACAAAAATTGTTTCGATAGAATATGATATATCCGCAATAAAAGATCTCTTCTAATCTGTTTAAGAGTTTAACTGCATTTTCTTCTTTCAATCATCCCGTAATTTCGAAAACAGAAACATGTCCACAATTCCATCTACAGACGAAGATATGGACCGAAGGATTAAGGACTTTCGAAACGGATGAGATCAGGACTTTCGAAACGGATGAGATCAGATATGTTCTGTTGCGGGCAGACTCCGCACATGGCCAAAGGATCCTCCAGCTCCCAGAGATCTGGCGAAAGATGCTCACGACTGGGTGACGATTTGTATGGAGGATTCGGTAGATATTGTTTCACGTCGAAGAACTTCTTGAGCTCCTCTGGATCGAAGATGGGATATCTGTAAAACACCTAAAGAGACTACGTTGGAAAAATATTGAAATTGGTGAGCTTTTTTATCTATTTCTATATTTCATATCTCTCCTTTATGCCGTTGACATATAAAAAACATAGTATGTATAAAGTTTTTGTAACGTTTTAAGTAATGCCGTCATATTTGATAAAAATATTCGAAATTATGCAACTTATTCGAACTTAATTACGGCTACCGATAATCGATCAGATATCAGTTATTGCATTATATACTGCACATATACCAACTCGAAGTAAAGCGTTACATAACGAAGGAATACAAATCATAGAAAAAAAGCGCAAAAATAATTTACGTCTTATTTTTCTTTTACAATACATCAATTTTTAATATAAAATGTGTGAACTACATTTAATATAATTCAAATATCTCCTGAAGATCTTTATTTTATGCAGAATCGTAAAAAAAAGTATAGGATAAGAGTGACTGTTTAAATAAAATTCTACATTACATTATCGAATAAATGAAGCTGTAAATTTCTTTATTATATTTTATTGACAATGAAATCATGCGAAGACATATCGGTGAACAACAATAAGTGAAATTTCTATAGTCAATCTTTGAGGGATAAAAACGCTGTGAAGTAGGATACACTCACCCGTACCACCTTAAATCGAGTACATAGAAGCGTAAATTGTTTTATGTACAGACAGTTTGTAAAATAAGAAATAAATGTATTGCAAATAAATTTACAGTTTTACAATACTTACCGCCGCGTAAGTCGCTATCGATAATGGAACTATATTGCCTGCCTTTAATCCGCACGATATATTGCTTCTGTAAAGAAGTATAATCAGTAGAGATTTTAGTCTAGGCGAGAAATCATACCATTTTGTCGCATATCTATAAGCAAAAGTTTTATAATCTATTTTAGATGGGGTTTGAAAAAGATTTTTTTACATTTCATAATAAGCGTACAATTTTTAGTCAATTGCACCATGCAATAAGAAAATATAAGAAATAAATAAGAAATAAATATAAGAAATAAATAAGATTAAAATGTAAGAAAATTTTTTACAAATTAATTTTTTTCAAAAATTAAGGTAAATTCTAAGTTAAAAATGATTTTTATATGAATTATACTTTTAAATTGCAGTTTAGTAAAAATATCTAATCAATATAAAATTCAATTCAATTTTATATTTGAGACATCTTAAATATAATTGTTTAATTCTCTGTTTCAACAGAAAAATTTTGTACGCGTTCATATATGTATATATATATTAAGATAAAAAATAATTATATTACGCTTGAAAAAATATATTTTGGCTTTCATCCATTAATTTCTGACCGGAGTAACACACGATCAGCAGAGTCAACAATGCTCCCATGATTATAAACATGAATCTTGCTATTTCTTCCAATTGATCTAATACATAAACGATCTATAACATATTAAAAATATTACATAATTATCCAAAAAATACATTTTTTGTTGAAAACGCTAATTTTATCATAAAATTAAAATTAGTAAGATGTTATTTAAGATTATTAATTTGCAGCTTTTATTAGCATTGGAAGATTTGTTAAGAAGATTAATTTAATCAAAATGCATCCGTATTGAACGAATCGGATTTTTGTATTATTTATTTAAGATCGGAACGAAATTAGTTTGGTTCAATAGAGAAAACGTATTAAATTATAAGTATAAATAGAAGCCAAGAATATATATATAGACAAGTTCACTCCCGGAAAGTAAGGAATATAAAAAAAAAACCCAGCTGTGTATTATACAGTTTTTTTTTCTTTTTTTTATGATGTTTACTTATATTCTATGAGATCTCTCATATGAATAACTTTAGTTGATGAATGCTTACTCGAATTCCAATGAGACTTAAAGTTCCAACAACCAATATTAATACAATTAATGAAAGTCCTTGATACGAGGAATCTAATATATCAACAAACCTATAGGATAAAAATAATGTTAACAACTTAGCTTCTAAATACAGATATTAATATTATTACTGAGATATGTTAAACAGGTACATTATTTTTATGCATCTGATATATAAAGAGTAGGTTGAGAAACGACATGATTAAAACTTAATGTAAAAACTGCTTACTTTATTGCAAGCTGATGTTTCCTTAAACACGTTATGTATTCTCGATATATCATTTCCTCGTTTGACATATCAAATATATTCATGTGATATCCATATTTTCTGATTTCATTGTTATTATTTGTTTTCAAAACTTTACTTTCAATTTCCTTACTAAATTACGAATGTTATGACATATAATGCAAATTATTTTGTCACATATTCATATATATGTAATTATATTTGCAATATACCTACCCAATAGCTGCAAATAAACTACAAGCATGAGCGGTGCACGTGATGTGCATCGCATCAACGCTCACCATAATACTTATACCCACTACAATTATAGCGGTAGTGTAACAGAAAATTGGTAGGAAATACTCATCCTTATTCACTCTGAATTCAACTTCAATGGCGAGAAATCGCGGACGTGACTCGTTAAGAGGCAACACGAAATCCAAAAACGCTGGTGTTAACGGTACTACTACAAATCCCGACATCATGACATACATTAGCACTGTAATATCATAAGAGAAGTGCATTGTTCTTCAATGATATCAATTTCTAAGAGAAACTATCATCGTTTTCTTAACTAGACTAAAACGCGATGCATATGTCGATAATTTTATTAAATATTATTTATCTCCTAGTATGTCAATCTCAGTATCAAATATCTTTTCGAACAACTTAATTTTATTTCACTAAGATCATGAAATTTTTAATATTACATTACTATATTTTTTATCAATGGATAACACATTGCTCAAAGAATATTATCACATATTGTACGGTATACTCACTCGAATAATATTTCGTAAATTTTCGCGACGTCATAGAGTAGTTTTTCAAAACTTGAACTTCTATATCGCTCGTAAATATGTTCCAATGCTCATCGATAATCTCGTATAATTGTTGTAACTGATCATAATAATAAAAGAACAAAAAAAAGAAACCGATTTAATTTATTAAATACGAAAAAATATTTTTTACAAAATTAAAAAAAAATTAAAAAACTTGGAGTTCTAATAATGTCATACCTTATCGTGGTTCAAAAACTCATTTGCCATCCTTACGAGAAAAGAAGCCGAGAGGACAATTTGATAACAGCCTTCAAAAATCATTTGTCCGTCATCCCAATGATCGTATAATAATAATATCTATATATAATATTGTATATTCATAAAATATGTTACAATAAATAAAACTGTTATATGATTGTAATTATATATAAAAAGAATTGTCATTATTCTCATTATTCTATTTGATTAACTAAATGAAACGTGACAAAATATACTGTGATAATATTTTATGAGTGTATGCGATAGAAATATATTGTGGTATTTACTGATTATTGAAATACACGTGATAATATAATGTATGTATGTATGTATATCGTATGATAATAGGCAACATTTTAGCGTGATAAAAATTTAAACTAATAAACACTAAAAATCATAGATCAAAATGTTGTCGATTTTATTACCTCGAATGGACAGTAACTTATTTCAAGCAAAAAGCAAAAAGTCCGCAATGAATTTCTCACGAGCCTATTTTGAAACGGCCAAAGACCCGTGCTTGACAAAAATAATCGGTTGATATTGTACTCTCGCAAAAAGTTGACTAGCATGATGAAACTTTATTTCCCGAAAGACCGCCACATAATGATACGTGTCCCGTATATGCTATCCTGTTCTTCGCCATATGAGTCGCGTCGCGAAGGAATTATAGCTTGTCAGGCATCGTCAACGTCAACGTCAACGTCAATATATTATTTTCTCGATGATAGAGCCTATCTATCTGTCAAAATTGAACCGTCATTTTTCTCGTCTCTGAAATAGCAAGTTTGTTGGACATTTTTGAAGAGAATGGTCTTATAGTAATAAGTATAGTTCGATATGCAGCAGAAAATTGAGGTTAAAAATAATAACGATAAAAACGTGCGCTGATCTTCTGGCTTTACAACGATAGTCTCTCTCTCCTCTGTTTGCAAAATATTTTTCAAATATCTATCAATTTGAAGCATTCCTGGTACTCGAATGTATTCTTTGAAGTGAGTGTATTCTTTAAAGCTGAGAAATAATGGAAATAAAAAAATAAAATTTACTTACAAAAAAATAAATTACATTTTGCACGGAAGACAGTATATAATATATAGAAATACCAATATTGTACAGAGTATTTGAATATATTGTACTGATTTTAATGATAAAATATTATATATGATATGAAGAAGTATCATGTAAAGAAAGGATGTGGAGGATGATGAAGAATTTCTCGCGCTTTTGCAAATGTTTGGCGCTCGGCTATTTTCTTCTCATTAGATTTTTCCTCTTTTACGTTTCTGTACAAAAATTATTCCGATAGAATATGATATATCCGCAATAAAAGATCTCTTCTAATCTGTTTAAGAGTTTAACCGCATTTTCTTCTTTCAATCATCCCGTAATTTCGAAAACGGAAACATGTCCACAATTTCATCTACAGACGAAGATATGGGCTGAAGGGTTAAGGACTTTCGAAACGGATGAGATCAGGACTTTCGAAACGGATGAGATCAGGACTTTCGAAACGGATGCAGACTCCGCACGTGGCCCAAGGATCCTCCAGCTCCCAGAGATCTGGCGGGAGATGCTCACGACCTGGTGGCGGTCCGCGTTGAGGACTCGGTGGATACCGTTCCACGTCGAAGAACCTCTCGAGCTCCTCCGGATCGAATGTGGGATATCTGAAAGGCGCCTCGCGCCTCGGTACGTCACGCATGGTAGGTTTTATCCTGGAGACGATCGGTACATCCTCTTCTTCTTCCCAGGATATGTCGCCTTCGCGTAAAAACTCTTCCTCGAACGGCACGTCAAAGGGCAGATCTTCCGGTAACGGCTCCCTAGCTATTCTCTCGAACTCCTGTTCGGCCCTGCGTCCTGCCTCGCGCGCCCTGATGCCGGCCATGCTTCTTTGGGCGAACTCGCGGGCCGCCACAACACTCGGATGTTCCCGGCCGTACTCGATGCGGAACATTTCGCTCTCAATGTCGGGGACTCTGCATTAAACGTGAACATTATTTCCAGATATAAGCCTAACTCTCTTACTATCTAGAAAAGCAGTGAAACATATTCAAAAAATTTCTCTTTCTTTCGTTTTTCATCCGTTAATTTGCATATTGTTATTATAGGTGAATAGAATTCTTTAACATCAATCATTTTTATTCTAGATTTCTTCTCTTTAATTTATATTTTTATTTTATTTCAATTCGTTTTTCAAAACTTGGAGATCAGATATGTCCTGTTGCGGGCAGACTCCGCACGTGGCCCAAGGATCCTCCAGCTCCCAGAGATCTGGCGGGAGATGCTCACGACCTGGTGGCGGTCCGCGTTGAGGACTCGGTGGATACCGTTCCACGTCGAAGAACCTCTCGAGCTCCTCCGGATCGAATGTGGGATATCTGAAAGGCGCCTCGCGCCTCGGTACGTCACGCATGGTAGGTTTTATCCTGGAGACGATCGGTACATCCTCTTCTTCTTCCCAGGATATGTCGCCTTCGCGTAAAAACTCTTCCTCGAACGGCACGTCAAAGGGCAGATCTTCCGGTAACGGCTCCCTAGCTATTCTCTCGAACTCCTGTTCGGCCCTGCGTCCTGCCTCGCGCGCCCTGATGCCGGCCATGCTTCTTTGGGCGAACTCGCGGGCCGCCACAACACTCGGATGTTCCCGGCCGTACTCGATGCGGAACATTTCGCTCTCAATGTCGGGGACTCTGCATTAAACGTGAACATTATTTCCAGATATAAGCCTAACTCTCTTACTATCTAGAAAAGCAGTGAAACATATTCAAAAAATTTCTCTTTCTTTCGTTTTTCATCCGTTAATTTGCATATTGTTATTATAGGTGAATAGAATTCTTTAACATCAATCATTTCTATTCTAGATTTCTTCTCTTTAATTTATATTTTTATTTTATTTCAATTCGTTTTTCAAAACTTGATTAAAGTTGATCGAAAATTACTGATTTATGTCGAAAAGATATGTCAAAGTTAGAATTTATTTAATTTTATATATTTATTTAAGGTATTAGGCAATATAAATTTATTGATTGCATGTTTCAATATGTAAAATTGTAATTTTTTATTTTTTCTCTTTTTCATAATATTTTAACCTATATAAATATCTAGGCCTCTCCTCCTCCGCGAGTTGCACAGCGTTACCACCGACATTTGCCACTGCCATTACAAAGTCCCGTCTCGCATGTTGCAAGTCTTCCAGCTTACCCTGGACCGTAGCCACTTCCGCTGCATCTTGCTCGTCAAGGCTCTCGCTACCAAATAATATTCTCCATTAACATATTACGTCATTAACTCTTACACAAGAAATAGGTCAGTTTAAAAATATTATAAGGATTGTATATTCTACAAAGAATAAAAAAATTCTCAATATTTAAATCAAAGATTTAGCAGAGACGTTTGTTTTCTATTGGACTAACTAAAAGTGTATAACATTGATTCTTTGGCAAATCTTGAAACATATATCAAAGTAAATTCTTTTATACATTTAACATTTTTTTCAGAAGCTTTGTGTTGAAACTAAAAAAAATAAAAGTGGTCCAAAAACGTTTTAATTCTGTGAAAATAAAGTCACCTAATCACTCGAATCGAGCGGTTCGCCACTTCGGACATCGGCGCCTCGACACCGGTCGCAGGCGGTTGCGGGATGCTGACGATAGTGGTGCGATTCTCGTTCACCGACCTCGGCGGTATCACGACACTGTCGATCGGACCCTCGCCAACTGCTTCGGCTTGGATCACCTGGGCATTCATGGACTTCGCCAGTTCTCTGGTTCTTTCTGGAATAGCCGGAATTGGTTCCGGTGCCCGTCTATCCGGCGCGACTCTCCTCTCCAGCGGCATAGGCCTCCTCACCGGCCTGGCAGGTGAAACCGGCGGAGACGGCGTCGGAGCCCGTCTTGCGGGTGCTATCCTCTCTCTACCAAACCTAAGTACAAATATAAAAAAAATGTAGATTGTTTAAGGTATTAAATAACGGCGCAAAGATCGCGTAATTCTGAAAGTTTACCTAGGATCACCGCCGATTGGTGCGAGTGTCCTCCTCGGTATCCTTCGCATAGGTATCGTTTCTTCACGCTTACGCTCGTACTCCTGCTTGAACTTCTCCGCCTGTTTCACCCGTGCCATCATCGCCTTCGTCATAGCCGGTTTGGTAAATTCAACCTTCTTTGGTTCAGCCGGGGTATATCTGCGTCTTCTGCCAGGTTCTATGACAGGTTCTGGCTGCCTTTTCGCTTCCTGCTTCCGTTCAAGTTCTTTCAGCAAAGCGGCACTCCTCGCCCGCCGTAGTGCCTCAGTCTTTGTGATTCGCGGTCGGCTCGCCATAGTCGATGGTCGTCGATATCAGGTAATTCTTGACATTCGATAAAATTAAATACATAACTATTTTTAATTCCATATATTAAAATTTTATTAAAATTTTATTTTATAAGAAAAATATAATATATAGACGTTACGTTTCTTTTCATTAACCGTCATTACTTCGAGATGCTTAATGGAATATTCCTTAACTAAACAATTTTTGTTCTCGATAAAAGCATACGGGTAACAATAATTTTTTGGCACTTAGTGATTACAAAGTAGCAGGATGTTATATCAAGAACGCGGTATAGAAAATTGAACGCATAATATTGATATATATTAATAATACAAATAATGATTAAAGTTTACGACACTTTGCATTGTAACTTTTCGGATAGCTTAATGTTCCCAGAAGATAAGTCGAAATAAATAATAACTTTAAGATAAAATAATGACTTAGGATAAATAAGATTATAAAAAAAGCATAAAGAACCTATTAAGAATGTATTTTCTAAAATCTCTAAAGAATAAACTCTTTCGATCAGCGCGATGATTTTCCTTGGCGCTCGAATAATGGATCCAGTACTTCTTCATGTTTCAAAGACTTGCGGTGTTAATAGCCCATTCTGGACAGTACGCCCGGCGCTTGATTAAGGCCGGGTAAATTAATTCGCCATTTTTAACAAGAATTTTGAATTATGTCGGCCTAAAGGGTTTATGCGAAAAAGTCACCGATGACAGATGCGGTGGCTTTTGTTTCGCTCTTGCATGATGCATCTCTTAGTCGAAATGAACGAATCTTTGAAGTTGGCGAGGAAATCTTTTTTTTTCTATTTATATAGTGATTGATAATTTGTAATTTTCAATTGAAATATTTATTTTAATTAATATTTTTTAAATATATTTGTTACTTTCTCTTTGGTTATTCTAGCTACAATACATTTATTATCGTAAAAAATGGAGTTCTATATGTATATATTTACAATGAATATGTAGAAATTATTTTATTTAAAACATGCTGTTTAATAATCAGCAGCATTGCTGGCCAGATAATCGCGACGCCCGATATTGGATGCCTGTTTGTTCTGCACAGCCTCTAGTTTCGGACATTCTGTGATTCTGTGTCCGAGCCCGCCGCAATAACTGCAACCGCGTTCGTCTGCAATAAAGCAAAAAGGATATTAGAAGTTTGTGAGAATATGAACAGCGGAAATAACGACGAGAGAGGAAACAAATACCAACTAAAAGATAGATAAATCGCCGACTATTATCTTACCTCCAAGATTCAGGTATTTTTCATTCTCCGAGCAAAGTTCCAACAAGAACGGCGGTACTTTCTGCTTTGCTTCCATCAGCAGATGTTTAAGATCAAGCAGTACCGAGTCATCGTTCGCTTTATTGATAAAAGTTGTCGCTATACCGGTACGTCCAGAACGACCGGTTCGTCCTATCCTGTGCACTAAAAGTATGTAATACATTAAATATTTATCTCACATTTCTGATCCGATATCATAATTTTGCGTATCACGATATATTACCATAATTTTCTACGTCATCCGGCATATCATAATTAATAACGTGTTGCACATCGGCGAAATCAAGACCTTTCGATGCGACGTCTGTCGCGACCAGCACATCTTTTCGACCCGCACGAAACGCTTCCACCGAACGTGATCTTTCTTCCTGATCTGAGAGTTTAATAAAAAATAAATTATATATTTAGCAATATTTAAATATTTTTTGAAATACTAATATGATTTATTTGTAATTTTTTTTTTCTTTGTGAAACTATATTGCATTATATATAAAACCATGAATGTTAATATATTTAATACGTTCAATGATCTTAGAGATTATATTGCCATGCTGTAGTTATAAAAAATATTCTTTACTCGCGAAATATGTCTAAAACTATACCTATTCCTCCGTGTATCGCGACAGCTTCCACTCCTTTAATGAGCAGATATTCGTGGATAGCGTCTACATCGCGCTTCTTCTCCGCGAATATTAAAACCGGAGGCGCAGTTTTCTGAAGGCATTCCAAGAGGTAAACAATTTTAGCCTCTTGTTTGACATATTCTACTTCCTGTATCACGTTCATCGATGCAGCACCAGCACGACCGACATTTATTGTCACGGGTTTTACCAACGCCGAACGCGCAAAATTTTGAATTCTTTTTGGCATAGTAGCGGAGAATAACAGCGTTTGCCTCTGACCCTGTAATATGCAATATACAGTAGACAATTTTTATTATTTTAATAAATAAAAATACTTGATATTTTTTCGTGCGTCACATAAATATTGAGATAAATAATAATTATACCCTGAAGAATGAAAATATCGTTCGCACATCCTCCTCAAATCCCATATCTATCATGCGATCTGCCTCGTCCATGCAAAGATAACGACATACGCTTAAAGTGACCATCTTTTTATGTAACATATCCATCAGACGTCCCGGTGTCGCTACCATTATGTGCACACCTCTATAAATATAGAATTTATATTATAAATTTAGGTAATACGCATATATTAAAAATAGAAATATCAAAAATTAAATAATAATAAAAAATATTAACTTATTGATTATAGCTAACGATTCCGAAACCGGTACACCTCCGATCGCCAAGCAGCAGCGTATTTCCGGGCAACTCACATGCCTTAAGCTATTGGTATAGTGTCGAAGTATGTCATAGGTTTGCTTAGCTAATTCTCTCGAAGGACATATTATCAAGCCTATGAATCGAAAAACATTAATATTAATAAAAGCATGCTGTGATATTTGTGATATATATAAAGTATTGATATATATATATGTGTCAATTAAATATCACTCTATCTATTTACTATCATAAATACTTTACCATAAGGTCCTTCTTTCTTAATGAATGGCATATCGATTTCTTGTTCCAGACAAAATTCAATGATAGGTAAAACAAACACCAAAGTTTTACCACTACCAGTGGAAGCTATACCGATCATGTCACGACCAGACAATCTGTAATTGTAAAACATTTGTACTTTTTGCACAATGTATTATAAAACTCATTGACGTGACAACATCAATATTATTGTAAACAAATGAATTGAAACATGGAAACTAACACTGTAGGTATTCCTTGAACTTGAATTGGTGTTGGCTTGATAATGCCTTTTTGTTCCAATCCATACAGGATTCCTTTATGAAATTTCATTTCCTTAAAAGTCTTTAAAGGTGGTGGTACTTCATCACCCTCCACAAGTATCCTAAGCTTCCTTCGTACTCTTTCATGACGTGCCTCTCCAAAGCTGAGTATTACTCTTGGTGGTTGCCAATTAGTTTTGATAGGATCTTTGTATTGAATTCCCTTGGCCAATTCAGCTACACCCATTAAAGCTTTATTCTCAGCAACGCTTTCTAGAATTTTCTCTTCCTCTTTCAATTGCTTCTCCATAGCACTCTCCTTCTTGGCTAAAATATTATAAAATAAGAATTTTACATAAACAATTTTTCTAAATTAGATTAAATTACTTCTTTATTTGTATGGACTTTATTCATAGAGATTTTATACCTTCAGCCAATTTTTTCAATTCCGTATGTTGGTCAAGAAGAGAAATGTTGGATTTTCTCCCCCAAACTTGCCCATCATCATTATCAGCGTCATCCTTTTCATTCTCGCTGCTACTCTTTCCAACATTGGTACCTTCCTCTTTTAGTTCTCCGAGTTTACCCAATTTTGCGAGCAATTGCTTTTTACGATGTTTGACAGATATGTATGGCACATAATTATCATCATCCATATTAAGACTGTCATCTTCCTCCTCTCTTCTATATCTCTGCATCAGGAATAATTGCTTGACATAAGTATGGATATACTTTGGTATCACAAAAAAATATATATATATTAAAAGGAAATAGATAATATTATGAAAAAACAAGTTTGAGTTGACAAAATGTATCTAGGTTAACTAACCTTTATTGGAACTTTGTTGTTATCCATTGAAATATGCACTGTCTCCATCGAGTGTCAAGTTTCAGTGTTGGTTATTTTCTTCAACTCTCTTACTGTTTATCCATTTCCTGTCAGCGTGGAAATCTGCGTCTTTCACAGGACAAAAATCTGCGGAAATCTGTGGAAAAAGAAGCTTGTCACTTCTTCTCTCGCGCTGCTCGCGCCATATATGTATATCTTTAGACAAGTTTTCGCTGCTTCAATTTGTTCGATGTTTCCAAGACCATGCAAAATAATTGTCTCTATCAAGTTTTGTTGATTATTAATTGAAGTAAGAAGAAATAATGTCTGCAGGGGTAGAACGTCCAGCTTCGATGCTTTTTCAAGATAGTCAGTATAATTGGACGGATGATTTGCCAGTCTGCAAACAATCTGGTACATTTTTATAGTTCATTATTTTGATAATAATGATCTAGAATTGATATTCAGAAATATTGACACAGAATTAATTTTTTGAAAAAGAATATGTATATATATATAAAGAACACTTTTTTTAATTGAATAAATTACAATAATAAGTAGTCTTTCAAAAACAAGGTATTTGTTGATAAATTTTTTATTTGATACTTTACAATATTAAAAATTTATTATTATTTGATGAATATGTATATTAAATTATAATGACACAAATAAAGTTTAATATAAAAGAGTTGTTGAGATTCAGTGGTATTTCAGGAGTGGGCTTTTCTACTAATCAGATCTATCGAGAAGATGGATACCGACAAGAGGAGCATCCATTTGAGGATCGCAGTTTTCACTGCAGATATGACGATTCCACATTTCTTTACGCGGTATTTGATGGTCACGAAGGCACTAAAGCAGCCAATTTTGCTATGCAAAGAGTGGCTGCAGAAATCTTGCTCGGGCAATTAAATGGCAAATCAAGTGATGAGGAAGTGAAGGAAGTTCTTCGGTAAGAATCCTATCAATGTAACATATGAAATAAAAAACAGATTTGATGCAAATTTTATGTATGTTTTATGTTGAAGCAATTTAAATACATTAATTATACAAAAATGCTAAATATATTACAATTACATATATAAGTTGTAGTTACAATTATAAGTTATCTACATGCGAGGTATTTATTTTATAGACAGGCATTCATAGCAGTTGAAAAAGGATATCTAGAATCAATTGGTGATTCGTTAGCGGAACGAGCTAGTCTACAGTTTGACATACCCGATGGACTGAACTCTTATGAGACCTATCAAAAATTTCCAGACCTCGTTAGTTGCTGAATATTTAAAATTATACAACTATACTTTTCTTTTTAAATGCATACAATATATTTTCTTTTCAGGTTGACAAGCTAAATACGCTAAATTGCGAATTGTCATCTGGGACCAGCGCTGTGGTTGCCTTAGTTTATAGAGGAAAATTGTACGTCGCGAATGTCGGCGATAGCAGGGCTCTGTTATGCAAAACAGACAGCAATCAAGTTTTACGAGTCATACAATTAAGCATGGACCATGATTTGAGGAATGAAGACGAGCTTTTACGATTATCTCAACTAGGTTTGGACGTCGAATCGATCAGGCAAGGTATATCTCATTCGCATTAACCTGTTTGAAAGATATTCCGGTAAATAGGAATCGATTACATTTTACAGGTTCTCATCTTGGAAATCAGGAGAACACGCGCTGTCTTGGCAACTATCTTGTCAAGGGAGGATACAGAGAGTTTGAGGAGCTAGCAGCTTCCGTGGCGGAACCGATCATCGCCGAACCGGAGATTCACGGTAGTATTGAGCTGGACGATTCCTGCAGATTTCTATTGCTCATGTCGCGTGGCTTATACAAATCGTTGGAGGAAGCGACCGGTACCGATCAAGTCAACAAGGAATTAGCTTTGATAGCCGTGGAACAGGTAGTATACTCTGACCTAAACAATGTTAGATTGAAAAGTTTCCGCACGTAAAATCTTTTTTTTCTTTTTGCTTGTTTTAGTTTCGGGTACAATCAACTTTAACTGGTGTCGCCCAGGCGGTGGTCGACAAGGTTGTGAGGATCCACCATGATGTGAACATGAGCAACACGCAAAACACCATGATCACCAGTAAACGCGACGACATAACTCTCCTGGTGCGAAACTTCAACTTCCCACTATCACACGCCCTGAAGAGTCCCACCAGTCAGTCTGTTAGATTCAATCCCGTAGTGCAGACCGCGCCAATCAGCATACCGGACAACGAGGATCTCTCGAGTACCAGCACCGGCATCACTGACGATAACTTTAACACGTCGACGACTGAGACGTCAACGACGTCAGACATGTATCCGCCTGGTGCCAGAATAACAGATCGAAATGCCAGAATCAAGCCTTACGTAGATTTCTCGGAATATTATGAAAACGTCGAGAAGAGAAGAAAAGAGGGAACTCTGCCGGAAGGTATAGACTTCTAACATATTTAGTTTATTTCTTGTAAATAGGATATTTAAACTATCAAGATTGATATTGTGCAGTCATTTAATATATAGCATGAATATTTCTATGATCGCAGTATGTGTATTTTTAATGAACTTTTGGACAAAAATCCATTTATACATCAAAAAGAGTAAAATTTATAACACAACACAACAAGTCTTTTCATCAAAATGTATTTATGATTCTCCCATAAATTTATTAAATTTAGGATGTTTATGTTTCAAAAATTATTTACTATCTTAGCTCATTTGATGTAAAAATAATAATGGAAAAATATCAATAAATATTTAAAATATCTTTAATTTTGGACGCGGAATATTTATGTGACATTAATTTAGTGGTTCAAATTTAAATTAAGACATATGTGCTTAAGGGGATTTCTGCCTCTCTCTTGCATATGCACGTAATATAGGACTTGAACTATCATATAATTTGAAATATATTTACATATCACACGAGATATTATGTTATAGATATTTTGTTGGGTTAGATTTCAAGCGGTCAAACGCGGCCTTTTCGAGACATTCTCTATGATCGGGATGCGCAATTTGAATCAATGCATTCGCCCTTTGTCGTAAGGTTTTACCGAAAAGATCCGCCACCCCGTGTTCCGTGACTATGTAATGCGCGTGAGCTCTTGTAACCACCACTCCAGCTCCTATAATAGATTCGTCAAGATATATATCAATTTTATCAAATAATTAATAATTAATTAAATTATATACTAAAATAAAATTTATTCGCAGCAATAGTTTGTAATCGAATCTGATTTTGATCGTACCGAGTTTAAGCACTGGTTGTATTTTACTCTCTCCTTTGCTGGTGACTGAGGGGAACGCGATGATGGCCTTTCCACGACCATCCTGACTAATCGCCGCGCCTCGAAGAAAATCCAACTGGCCGCCGAAGCCGGAATATATCTTACAGCCTAAACTGTCCGAGCACACCTGGCCGGTAAGATCCATCTCGATACAAGAATTAATGGCCGTCATCCTTGGCTGCATCGAGATTATCCGAGGATCGTTCACGTAATTGATCGCTAGCATCTCTAGCAGTCAATACGATACAATTACAATTGAAAAATAATGCAGGGGCGCCTTGTTTCAATCAAGATAAGTCCATTGTCATAATTACCGACAAATGGATTGTTATGCAGGAAATCGTATAATCGTTTTGTGCCGATGCCGAAAGAACCGACCATACGTCCTCTATGCTTGGTCTTGCACTTGTTCGTGATGTTGCCGTGCTCGACGAGATCGACCATCGCATCGCAAAGAATCTCCGAGTGTATTCCTAAATCTTTGTGATTGACCAGGGCACAGAGTACCGCGTCGGGAATATTACCGATACCAAGCTGTAACGTCGCTCCATCCTCGATCAAACGCTGCGCAATGATCTTGCCAATCTCGAGTTCGAGGTCGTTGGGCGGTGGACAGACCACACAAGGTAAAGGACAATCATATCTCACTGCCCAGTCAAAATGGCTCGAGTGGATCACCGTGTCGCCAAAACACCTTGGCATGTGCTCATTTACTTGCGCTGGAAAAGGAGAAACATTTTTTTAATAATTTATTATTGCAATTAATGATTATACATAAAAGCAATTATTTTATTAATTGACGCCTTCAAAATTCTCGCTGACCGACAGGTGGATCAGGATAGCGAGTTTTTCATCTTGTTATCACATCTTAAAATTATCGTCGTTATCATGATTAATGATTCGGTACCGATGAGAACTTTGGCGGTGCAAATCGCGGCGCGGGTACAATCCGCACCCACACCGAGCGAGCAGAATCCACGTGCGTCCGGCATGCTCACGTGGATCAGCGCGATGTCCGGCACGATTCTCTTCTCATAGAACAACCTCGGCGCCTCGTGCAGGAATACCGGGATGCAGTCCGCCCGTCCCTCATTCACCGCCTCCCTGACATTAGTACCCACGTACAGGCTGATGGATCTGAAGTGCTCTTTAATATAACATCGCCACAGGCTATTATTTTCCATCACTGGATATCGTGTTATGGATAAAGATTGCGACTATTTCGCGAATATCGTACTCTCAAACTCGGGATTGACAAACGGTGTATCTCCCTCGAGACTCATATGCATCAATCTGACGCCGCGCAAATTGTTGCATACCCCGTGCTCGGTCATGGCGCGCACGAGCTCCATCGGCGTGGCCGCACCACCTTGTATGAAAACCAAATGTTCTGAAAAGAGAAATAATTGGTTTGTAAAGAGAATCTGCTTTGCAGTAATATACACACTCATAATAATAATCTACATTTGTTGAGGATTTAATGAAAAAATTATTCTGTTTTTTGAAATTTTCTGATATGACATATTATATATATGTTAATTAAATTAAAAATGTTATATATCCTTAATTCTTTTTCTTTTAATGAATTTCAATTAATTAAAAAATTTATAAAACAATTATATTTTTTCAATAAAAAACACAGAAAATTTAAATATCGGTTTATTAAACTGTAATACAGTTGTAATAAATACCTGAATTTATGATTTTTACCGCGTCTTCCACGCAAACCCATTTTGGACATCGTTTCAACGGTTGAGAGGGTTCCCTCAGACTTTCCAAATACCGCTGTCCGCTTAAATGAAAAGATTTTGTCGTATTTTGCCGGATTTTGCCGAAGATTAATCTCAGATTTCGGAACATCTTTTCATCGTTCCGAAACTGACAACACCAAATTTGGCAAGTTCTCGTTGATGATACGACAATAAGTATATAATGATCGTATAAAAATTTATGAAATACATAATATAAAAGAGATCTCGTTGAACGTATACGTCAAACGATATGAATCGCGGTTGCCATCTCCACAAACCGTTATTTGAACATCTGATTTGGCGGCGTTCGATTTTTCGAGATAATATTTATATAATTGGCGGGTGCACTATCGATTTGAATTTTTTTCAATATACACGTAAAAATATATTTCAAATATAGATATATAAATGCAAGTGCACTATATCTATCTCATTTCTTTTAACATAAAAAAAATATATCGAGGATATCGTGCATAATGAAACATCAACAGTATTAGCGTTCTCATCTTATACAATATATATATTTTTTTTTCTATATTCGTATTTCGAATTTCTCATTACAATGGCAACATACGGGAAATTATATAATTCGATTTAATATAAAAAATGCTTACACATTTCGGAATGGCATTAATTGTAAATAATGCCATTTTTTATTTGTCTGTGTTCGAAAGCGTGAACACGTCTCTTTCTCTCGGCAATATAAAACATACGTATAACTTAATTAGTATCTATGTATATGGATATAAGCGCAATCTTTCGCATTACGAATTCTTCTTATATACGTAATGTTACAATTTAGCATATTAAGTTCTCAATCTAGTTAGTTAACATGTTATTCACCATCTCTCTTTTATTCTAGGAGGCCGAATTGTCTTCTGGCAAGAGAGTGCGTATATCGTACAAGAAGAAGACACCACGTGACTCTTCGATTGTTGGCCGTTATATGCGCGACTAAAACACGCGGACGACCGATTGTAAAATGCTATTGAATATGATTTTTCTGCCTCGTGACTTTGTTTTCGAGTTTATGGCGCAGGCATCATTTTCAATCGTTCGAACGCCGCCTTCTCGAGCGCCTCTCTGTGATCGGGATGAGCCACCTGAATCAATTCGTACGCTCGTTGCTGAAGACTCTTGCCAAATAGGCTGGCGATTCCTTGTTCAGTCACGACGTACCGCGCCACCGCTCTGTTAGTGACTACTCCAGAACCTGTTAATGTAACGGAATAATGATTCGTATATACTATATATACATGTGAATGTGTTGGATCAATACAGAAGTGAATTAACCCAAAATCAGATTTGATACGAATTTATGTTTAAATTAAAAAGCTAAATATATAGTTTTATAGTATGTTAAATCATTATTATGTATTATAATCTGCATCATAGGTTTTTTTATGTATTTTTCAACATAATATATTAAGCAGTAACTTCAAAAATTGTAATGGATTATAATGGCATCATTTCACTTGAAGATTTATACACAATTATTTTCATACTGCATCAGTCGTTCAATAGTGGAATTCATGGAATTATGGAAAATAAAGATTATTTCGATAAATCTACTTACCTAAAGTTAGAACCGGCTGTATTTTACTCTGACCTTTAGAGGTGACCGACTTAAGAGCTATGATCGGCTTTCCTTGTCGATCCTCGCTCATCGCAGCACCCATAATAAAATCCAGTTGTCCACCGAAACCAGAATACATTCTCGTACCAATGCTGTCTGAGCAAATTTGACCAGTGATGTCCACTTCGATACATGAATTGATGGCAGTCATCTTTGGTTGCTTGGCAACTATTCTAGGATCATTGACGTAATCCACAACCAGCATCTCTGTTGAAAACAAGTAAAAAAAAGGCAATGAAACTTAAGACTATTGATAACCAACAATAATTTCAAACATGTGAAAAATGCAGACGCGAACTGACCTATAAAGGGATTATTGTGCATGAAATCATAAAGTTTCTCCGAGCCCACGCAAAACGAACCGACGATCCGACCACGATGCATCGTCTTTTGATTGTTCGTGATGCAGCCCTTGTTCACGAGATCCACCACACCATCGCTGAACATTTCGCTATGAATACCTAGATCTTTATGATTGTGCAACAACGACAGCACGGCATCGGGTATACTGCCGATACCCATCTGCAACGTAGCGCCGTCTACTACCAGATTCTCAGCGATAAATTTGCCAATCTGCTGTTCAGCCTTAGACGGTGGCTTCGCCGGGTGAACCGGTAACGGTTGATGATGTTCCACAGCGAAGTCCAGATGGCTTTCGTGAATAATAGCGTCGCCAAAGGTCCTGGGCATATTCTTATTAACTAAAGCTGTGGAAAATTAGCTTCTCTTTAAATTCTGCCTCCATTTGAAGAAGAACGTAAGTATTCGGGAGATTTTTCCGAGATTTACCTATGATACGTTTGGAATGACTCACGGCCGACCGAACGGAGTCTACGCTGGTGCCAAGGGAGCAGAAACCTTTGTCGTCTGGCGGAGACACGTGGATGAGCGAGATGTCGGGTTTCAGGTAGCCTTCTTTGAAGAGACGCGGGATTTCATGTAGGAAAATGGGAATACAATCGGCAGTGCCTGCATTCACCGCAGGCCGTACGTTACCGCCAATGAACAAACTGATAGATCTGAAGTGTTCTAAGCAAACACATTGTAAGATATACATGTTCGTAAAAACAAACTTAAGTAGTACAAGCTTTTCAACTTTATGAAAATCTTATTGTTAGCATTAATCTCTTTTCGCAAATTAAACTTCTGTTAAAACAAAATTAAAAACTTTTACAATTAAAAGATAAAGAATTAAACTTTTTTGAATATAACAAATTATACAAGAAGGATATTATGTAAAGTAGATTATTAGAATAGAGACAAAGCTGGAAGCGAGTTGTGCGACGCAAAAGAGCGCGAAGAATAAGTAAAACAACGCGCTAAATATGACGAGTTGTTATTCAAATATTTTAAAATACAGAAGATTACGTCGAATGTACATCGTAACGTACTTGCGTTTTCTGGTTTAGCGAACGGAGCCTCCCCCTCGAGATGCATGTGATATAGACGGACGTTTCTCACATCACAGCGTACACCGTAGTCGGTCATCGCTCTCAATAATTCAACGGGTGTCGCTGCCGCACCCTGGATGTACACCAGCTGATCTGCAAATATATATATAAGAAATGAGAAACAACATCTTTGCACGGTTATTTCGCGAACTTAAGATTTTATTGAAATAATAATTGTTCGAGATTAAATTAGTTTTGAAATTAAACAGTAAAAGATTTTGTAATCTATTTGCACACATCAGGTTTGAACTTTCTGAAAAAAATCTCTTTTTCTATTTTTGCTATTTCAATTATTTTTAAAAATCTAATTTATTTGTTTTAATAGGAATAAATTTATATCAAACCTTTCTTTATGCTATCCTTAAGATATTAAATTATATTTATTGATGATTTAAATCGTTAATTTTAACTATACATAATTTTAATTATATCGCAATTTGTACATGAACGATGACATTATCGATATATTTTTGCAATAAATCATGTGACGAATAGTAATTAATTCTCTTCAAAATATTATTATTATTATATGTTTGTGTATTATATTATTGTTGGATACTATTAATGCTTGTAATCGTATGCCATTACAAAAGTCAAGAAGAAATAAAGAATTATTTTCCACCGCGCCGAGAGAAAGCTAACACAATTCGAGAACCTTGTACTTTGAACTTTGTAGTATCCCGCAATAACATATTGCAGAATACAGCAAACATTGCTTAATGTTTACATGGTTTATCACAATGATATCGTATATAAATGTTGGCAAATTCGAAAATATCTCGATGCGATCTCGCGCGTAATATTTATCTCATTCATTTATCATATCTAGGCTATGTGTTTTGGTATTTTCATCTAGTCCGTAAAATAAGATTCCTAAAAATTTTATAGGCAATAACAATATTACAAAATGTTAAAATTATCTACGTGCGAGAAAATACATCTATTTTCAAATCAATTTTAATTAGTAAATGTATGTGTTCTTACTGCAGGTGTTCTACTGCATTTTATAGAAATTCTTATTAAACACAAAACACAAGGATATAGATTACTACAACATTGCATTATTATTATTATTATTCTTGTTGTTAATATTATTATTCGATGCACTTAAAACATATAAACATATAAAATTATTATTACCTCAATCAAATTAACCTTTAGAATAGCAATTTTTACATTATTTGGATTATTGTATAACTGTAATTCTAACTAGCATCGTAATAATAGCTGTAATGTTATAGCTCTTTCTCAATTTGCATTATATAACGAAAGATATAGTTAAAGAAACATCATATATATATATATATATATTTGTTTCTATGGAATATTCTTTATGTATATATGTATATATATATATATATATATAATTTCTAGAAAAACATTTTTAAAATACAAGAATCCAAAATAATACACAGAGATTATTGTAAGCACGGACATTGTTCCGTGTAATAGATCCCGTATAAGATATTTTTAGTCTGCGAATCTTATCGGAACACGATCGTTACATGCAATATGTTATGTGATCGCATATATGACATTTCATTTCTCATATATCTTTCTATATTATCCAATATGTTTCAATTATTAATACATGAATTTTTTAAGAGCATTATCAAAAAAAAAAAAAAATTCGAAAGATTGAAGATAAAAATTACAAATTAATTCGCGTAAAAAAAGCCCGTATAAATGGCGTATACAACTTTTTTATATAAAATACTGTGTGCAAGTGTACATCAGAAATAATCTAGTTTATTGTGTTGGCAAATTTTTAGTTGGGATAGTGGTGGACTATATTTAAACGAGAGCTAGGCTTCGATGTGCTATGTATACATATACGTAGATTCGCGTATCGAGGTCAATGTTGGTGATGTACCCACTCATTCAGTATCATCTGCACAGCTGTCAGCTCAGAATTTTCTTTTATCAGCCCCATTTGAAAGGCGTATCATAAAATTGATGCTTGAACGAGACGAAAAAATCGTTTGTAAATTTAATAATAAAAAGTATGGAAAGATAATCGCAAAGATAAAATTGGAAAATTTTCTTTAACTTAAGGAGAATTATTAGACGAAACATTTAAGAATGGCAAGGACATCTCACATCATTCCGCGGAGCGGAACGACGACGAAAACCGGTGTTGTGGATTAAAATTCTAAAATTAATTAACTCTACACGGGCTTGCATTTATATTATTTGTGTAAGTTTTTTTGATTTTTTCCTATAAAAATTATATTATATATAAATAATTTTTTTATGAACTATATTGGTCCGATATAAATAGAGGATAAAATTATATTTTCTATGTTTTATGATCGTATAAAAAAATAACATTTTGTACTTAAATCATGTGTTATTAACAACGAAGAATGTCAGTCGATTATCGGTTTTCTTTATCAGCAAAAACAAGTGTTTCGTTGACTTTCATGTCTTTTATGACGAATAAAGCGGCATGCATTAATTATGCGACGATCGTATATGTCGAATCGATCTTATCGAACGCTCGAATAGCTTCTGTAAATACATAAACTTGTATAATGCAACGTTAGCAAAATTCTGCTTCAATTTGTTAATCGATACTAGAAATATGATGAAGTGTTGATATTCGATATTAACCGGCATTTAAATCAATTAGAAATAAATCAGAAAAAAATCTGCAAACAATATTTTATATTTTTAAAGCTATTAAATTTTCCCAAGTTTTAATGACCCTTGGAAAAATTTTAGTTTTTCTATATATATAATCTCATTAATTTTTATTATCAATTAAAATTCTTTTAATATTTATATATCGGATCTAATACATATACAACTTTGAAATCTTTTTGTAGTGCGCTTAGGAAACAACTAATTTTTTAAATTTAATTTAAAATTATTAATTAAATTTCAAAACTTATTAGGTAAAACTTTTTAAGCATTAATTTACATATGCGATATAGACGGTGACATAAATTTTAATTCGCAAGAAATAATAATCTAAAGCATATGAAATATATCATTATGCCTGTTATTTAAAAAAATATATTATCGCAAATTCTACACATATGCATTTTTCGAACATATTGCAAAATATCGATGCGCAAAAAATAACATCGCTAAAAGAACATCGAGCATATTTTTAAAATATTTGCATACGATACGATTTAAACATTTTATTTTATACATAAAAAAATGTAGAATATAATTATAAATATAAAAATTGTATTACGTTTACGTAATTCTAGCCAAAATTACATATTCTACATAGAAGCTGTAAAATGTTCGCTTGAGATTTGCATCTAAATCTCCGAATCCAAAACAAGAATTTATATAAGTATTTACAGAAGCTAGAATATATATATAATGTAAAAAACTTTGCAGCACCTCGTCGTATACATTGCCCACGTTTAATGCAATTACGAGCAATAAGCTTGGTTAAAAGGAAGTGCAACTTGATAAAAACGCTCTTGCAATAAACGATCAACTGCGTATCTGCATAACTGCTCTAACATTTACATTAATCTTCCCATGAGGTTTGAGGCTGTATTTCATTGGGATTAAATACATATAGAGAAAAATAAATATAATAATAAACAGTACATGGTTTAAGCATTATACAAAACAGTAAATTCTAGACAAAATAAATGAAAAAAATATGATAATATGAAAAATTTTATGATAGTGTAAACAGATGATCATAAATATTTTGTAATTATCCACAAAAATCAATTTTTTTCAATCATCTGTTTTCAGATAATTCTCAGATTGAAAAATCTCCAAAGCCTCATAACGAGATGATAACGCAGACTCATTAAATCATACGTCACGGCGGATCATGAGCAAGGTCTAGTTGCGTCAACAGTTTATGCTGTGCATTTGCACAAGTTTGATTCAGTGATTTTCTGTTTCCTTTCTCATGTTATAGTCTCACCTATGATACTGACAGAGAAATGAAGTAGGCGTAATATTAAATCAATTGATGGAATCAACCATGAAACTCGATAAATCCGCGAAATATCGTGAAGTAAAATTTCCAAAGTACGCTGAAATTGTACAACTGAAGCTCGCTGATGGCTCTTTACGTTCCGGACAAGTATTGGAGGTCTCTGGTTCTAAAGCTGTGGTTCAAGTCTTTGAAGGCACATCTGGCATTGATGCAAAAAACACTCACTGCGAATTTACCGGTGACATCCTGCGGACACCAGTGTCCGAGGACATGTTGGGCCGTGTATTTAACGGATCGGGAAAACCGATCGACAAAGGACCGCCGATCTTGGCGGAAGACTATTTGGATATTCAGGGACAGCCTATTAATCCGTGGTCCCGTATTTATCCAGAGGAAATGATTCAAACTGGAATATCAGCTATCGACGTGATGAACTCTATCGCTCGCGGTCAGAAGATTCCCATTTTCTCCGCCGCTGGTTTGCCACATAATGAGGTATTGTAATATTACTTAAATTACGCAAAATTAATTTGTACAATTATCAAAATTTGATCTTACTTTCTATAAAATGAAAATTTCCCTTTTTTTTTTCAATATTTTTAATCAAAATTTCATTCTTCAATTTTTATTTTGTGACAGATTGCCGCGCAAATCTGCCGTCAAGCGGGTCTTGTAAAGGTGCCTGGTAAATCCGTTCTCGACTCGCACGAGGACAATTTTGCCATTGTGTTTGCGGCTATGGGTGTCAACATGGAGACTGCACGTTTCTTCAAGCAGGACTTTGAAGAGAACGGTTCTATGGAAAACGTGTGCTTGTTTTTGAATCTGGCCAATGATCCAACGATCGAAAGAATCATCACGCCGCGTCTCGCCCTGACAGCGGCCGAATTTCTGGCGTATCAATGCGAAAAACACGTGCTGGTTATCCTCACGGACATGTCCTCCTACGCCGAAGCGTTGCGCGAAGTATCGGCCGCTCGTGAGGAAGTACCGGGTAGACGTGGTTTCCCCGGTTACATGTACACTGATCTAGCCACCATCTACGAGCGTGCCGGCCGTGTGGAGGGTCGCAACGGCTCCATCACGCAGATTCCGATTCTCACTATGCCCAACGACGATATTACTCACCCGATTCCTGATCTCACTGGCTACATCACCGAGGGTCAGATCTACGTAGATCGTCAGCTGCACAACAGGCAAATCTATCCGCCCGTGAACGTGCTACCGTCCTTGTCGCGTCTCATGAAGTCCGCCATCGGCGAAGGCATGACGCGAAAGGATCATTCTGATGTGTCTAATCAACTGGTGAGTTATCATATTGAATTATAAAGAAATTCGAACTTATTAAATTGTGAAATTGAATTATGATATTCTTATATATACATATATTATTTTTTATACATCTTGTATCTTTTTTTCTATAATTACTTTTAAAATATTTTTCCATATAATTATTTTTTATTATGCTTTTTAGTATGCTTGTTATGCCATTGGAAAAGATGTCCAGGCGATGAAAGCCGTCGTAGGAGAGGAGGCATTGACGCCAGATGATCTATTGTACTTGGAATTCCTGTCAAAATTCGAGAAGAACTTCATTTCACAGGGTAGCTACGAAAACCGCACAGTCTTTGAATCGTTAGATATCGGCTGGCAACTGCTGCGAATCTTCCCCAAGGAGATGCTCAAGCGAATTCCGGCCAGCATCCTTGCGGAATTCTATCCGAGGGATTCCCGTCATTAATCGCCTTTTTATTTATGTGTCTCGCCTTACGCGTAAGCTTGTTTCACTTACTAATTAAATGGTGAAAATCACACGTACAAGCTCGATATATCTTTTCATTGATATTAATTGGAATATAAATATCTCTATTCTCGCGTATTTACAAAAACAGATTGACGTAACGAGATAAGAGAATAATTAAAGAGAATAATTTAGCGGCATGTATGTAATATGCATCTAAATGAAAAGAAAAAAGATGGAAGAGTATAACGCGTCTTGTTTATGCGCTATAAATATTATCGTTACAAGCTTACAAGGAACGTACACGTTTTTTGATGTTGTGCAATGAGAGGTAAAGTAAATAGCAATGATATTAATATGTAAAGTAAATTGAAAATTATAACAGATTTATTGCAGAATCTGGCGTATGCAAATGTGCAAGTCGCAGATTTGTATGAGACTACGCATGTTATTCATCATGAAAATAATAAACACTGTGAATATATATTGTTTCAACATTTGATGCATATATCTCTCTTCTTTAGAGCGACAGTGTTCACTCACACCAAACGACCATTGTAAAGTGTAATATATTATTCAGTATTAACATAGACAAAAAGCATAGAGAAATACATCTATGATCACGTTGTATTTTTGCGTTCCCTACATTCCATTGCGAAATTCACATATATAAGATTCTTTATGCGTTTGATGAACCAATTGAAACGAGAGAGACGTTTAACACAATATGTACAGTTACTTCTAGAGAATGTTTTGAGCGAAACATTATCATGTATTTTCTTGCAAAAGGCAAAATGTACATGTTAGAAATAGATAATTAAAGAAGAATTGTTGTTTGAAGTGCTTTGTTTGTTTAAATGCTGTTATTTAATCTATCACCATGAATTATTCTGCATGATTAATTGTCTTATATTAGATTTTCTCTTCTTTTTCATATAATTAATTTTGTAATCTTTTTACACTTTGTAATTTTAAATATTTTCTCTATTTTCCCTTCACTTTATCATTGATTGTAATAAATAAAAGTAATGTGTTAAAAAAATTCTCAGAATGATGAAGAGAAAATTACATCAAAATTGATTTGAATTTGGCGCTTAAAACAAATTATCCACTATCGTATCACCATTAGCTGTGTTTATAAAATACAACGCTATGTTACATCTAGTATCGTTTTATAGTTAATGATCATAATTTCGAGGTTGGTTTTATATCAGCGGTTCGCGCCATTTTTGTATTCGACAATAAATTACGAGATATTTCGTTGATTTTTCAACAGGATGAATATTCGAAAGTGAAATGGTAATAATTATAGACTATTTCCATTTTGTTTGTTAATGTACTCTTCTGAATAATAATTTCTATCCATATGGAGTATAGAATTGTCATTCACATTACGCATGTTTATATTGCGTTTATAACTTATTAATAAAACAAAATTAATTCAATTTACCTAACAAATGGATTAAAGTATTATTCACTTGTCTTACGAAAAGTTTAAAATATAATAATATATATTCTTTCTTTATGTATGTGTTTCAAGATTCGGTCACTGGCACCCAGTCAACGAGGGAAACGTCCTTTACTCTTGGATATACCACAGGATATTGCAGCGATAACTTTGTCTGAAAATTGTCCGCCAGAATCAAAAAGAAGGACTTCCAAAAATGTCAAAGACATACAAATATCGGAACGCAAAGCTGTTCTTCTTTCCGATGATGACATCCACACAATGCAAAAAATAGTATCTGACCATGTAAGTTTATTTGTAAAAGATCTTAATTGTTAGATCTTTACTATAAAAATATGATATATGTATGATATCAATCAGGAAGAAAGAGTGAGAAGACTTCTTAGCAAACCATTTAAAATACCAGTGCCCGGTTATCAATTATCTGGACGAGTTCTTGGATTACGTCTGTCAGGACCACGTAGACCATTGCATGATCCTGATGATCCCAACGCATTAATCGTCTATTCGCCACCAGAATTATCCGAGCATGAAAGATTGAAAGTTGATCCGTATGTATATATATTTCTAAATATAACATGTTCAAATAGTTTTATCCAATCCATTACAATATGTATAGTTTTTGAGATAAAATTATGATTACATTATGTGTATAATTTTTGCAGATGTAAGCTACTTGTACACGTAGTTGTAGATCCTATATTGTGCAATGTATTAAGGCCACATCAACGTGAAGGCGTGAAATTTATGTATGAATGTGTAACGGGTAAACGTATAGAAGATGCATATGGTTGTATTATGGCAGATGAAATGGGTCTTGGCAAAACACTGCAATGCATAACATTGTTATGGACGTTATTGAAGCAAGGTAAGATATCCATATAAAGCTGTTCAAAAAAATTAGTAGAAAAGATGAAAAGAATACAATTAAAAAATGCTTGCATAGGACCAGAAACTAAACCGTTAATAGACAAAGCAATTATTGTTGCACCCAGCTCTTTAGTGAAGAATTGGTACAATGAAATTAACAAATGGTTAAATAACATGGTCAACACGCTCGCTATTGATGGAGGAAAGAAAGCAGAAATTGATTCAAAACTCCTCAGGTTCATGAAAACTTACGGCGGCAGATGTGTAACTCCTATTCTTATTATAAGTTATGAAACATTTCGCTTACACTCACATGTATTACATCAAGACGAAGTTGGCCTTGTATTGTGCGATGAGGGCCATCGCCTAAAAAATTCCGAAAATCAAACATATCAATCCTTAATGGGTTTAAAGGCTAAAAGAAGAGTATTGCTCAGCGGAACGCCTATACAAAATGATCTTCTGGAATACTTCTCCCTAGTACACTTTGTTAATCAAGGATTACTGGGAACTGCGCAGGTAAATGGAATGTCGATAAAAGCTACATATAATTTATTAAAAGAAAATATGAGACGCCCATATTACGTGGCCAAGACGCAGCTGCGACAGACGAGCAACGTAAACTCGCTCAGGAACGTTTGTCCGAATTAGTATCAGTTGTTAATAAATGTCTCATTAGACGTACTAGCGCTTTACTTTCGAAATATCTACCACTGAAATACGAACTCGTAGTATGCATAAAAATGGGAGAGCTGCAAACTCGTCTCTACAAGAACTTCATACAGAGTGATAGTATAAAAAAGTCTATGGAAGGTACGTTTTTAAAAAATCATTTAATTAACAATTTTAAGATAAAAGGCAACATTTCAATATATGGTATCACATAATATATAATAAAATAGATAAAATATATTTTTTATATCTTTTTTTGTGTGTACACATTTTATATAGAGAATGATAATCCAAAGAATGGAAGTCGTTTATCCGCTCTAGCTGCCATAACTCTTTTAAAGAAGCTGTGTAATCATCCCGATTTGATATACGATAAAATAATGGAAAAAACAGAAGGATTTGAGAAAGCTGCACAATTGTTGCCGCCGCATTATTCTACAAAGTAAAACTAAATTTTACTGCGCTATGAAATGAAAAAAAATATATCATTTGATAATAGAATCTTTGTTACAGGCAATTGCTACCAGAATTATCAGGTAAACTGATGGTTTTGGATTGTTTGTTGGCGTCCATTAAAACCACAACAAACGACAAAATAGTACTAGTTTCTAATTACACACAGACCCTCGATTTATTCGAGAAACTGTGCAGTAAACGTTCCTACAATTACGTGAGACTCGACGGTACGATGACTATCAAAAAGAGATCGAAAGTAGTCGACAATTTTAATAGCGACACTAGCAGCTATTTCATCTTCATGCTCAGCTCAAAAGCCGGTGGATGCGGCTTGAATCTCATCGGTGCGAATCGTCTCGTCATGTTCGATCCGGATTGGAATCCCGCAAATGACGACCAAGCGATGGCCCGAGTTTGGAGAGACGGCCAGAAGAAGCCGTGCTTTGTCTATCGTTTTCTTTCTGTTAGTAGTACCAAATTATATATTTATATCAAACAATAAGTTAACAAAATTATTTTCATATTTGAATTCTCATATTTTTTAACATAATCTTTAAATAATCTTTAAATAATTTTTTCAAATTTAATATGTATTTATAAATTTTATTTTTTTTTTTTTTTCAGACTGGGACGATAGAAGAAAAAATATTTCAGAGACAAGCTCATAAGAAAGCATTGAGTTCCACAGTGGTTGATCAAGAAGATGATGTAGCGAGGCATTTCACTATAAACGATCTTCGCGATTTATTCAAATTAGAAGAAAGTACTGTTTCAGATACACACGACAAGTAAGTGTAATAGGTTTTAAGTATTTCAGAATGATTCGCGGAACAAGAATTATATTATTATTTATTTAGGTTCAAATGCAAACGTTGCGTCAATGGGATCGAAGTGAAAGGTCCACCGGAGCAATCCGACTGCAATTCCGATTTGTCCGAATGGCGACACTCGCATAATCCGCGGCATTTACCGGACATACCGTTACGACAGTGTTGGGATAGCGGTATTTCATTCGTTTTTCATCATCGCTCACATGAACATGTGAAATAATTATGATCGGAACAATAATTTATTAGCATTTTGTTTCAGAATGTATTTTGCAACAGTATTTTGATAAATTTACAATATTTTTTTCATCAGTACCATTAATGAAACAGTATCAAATATGGTAATTGCAGAAAATTTCAATTTTTTAAGAGAAGCTTATACAAAATTTATTTACACAATAGTTTTTTTTTTCAAAAATAGGAATATGAGAGAGAGAGAGTGAACTTGTATTCAAATATATATGGCATAAAACTTTTTTGTCGGGAGGAAACAATATTTTTTTTTATATATATAATTTTTTAAAAGATTGTTGCAAAACATTTTTGCTCCAAAATGCAGTAATATATAGTGTGATCGATATAAATGTGCCTCATGTTTTGTACAAATTATTTCATTTAATATGTTTATAAAAAAAGAAGTTAAATTACATATATTTATTAAATAACTCTTTTTTAATGTCTCTAGGTATATGTAAATAATAAAATGCCTAGGATGTTAAAAAATTAATGACAAATATTTAATTTATATGAATATGAAAATACTGATACAATTTATTTATTAGATCACCAGAATTACAAATTCCCTGGCAATTAATCATTCCTTTTATCAGTTTAATAATGCTGTCTTTCATTGCACACACATAAGCACTTATCTAATCAAAGAGAAAACAGACTTATCAGCACATGACTCTCCTACTAATCTTGTTAGTTACGTAAAAGGAAAAACCATATAGATAAATTTATTTAAATGATAGGTTTATTTAAATCATATATTCAATATGAATATTTAAAAATAATTTAATAGCGAGTAAACGTCATATATATATATATAAGCTTCGTATATTATTAAAAGCTTTCCGAGAAGGCATCACGTGCGCGCTCGAAGTTGTCAAAACGCGCACCTGTATTTAAAGCGAACCGGACGTTTTCAACTCGGTTAGTACTCGCCGCATCACATCTTTCGCACAAGTTCCGCGTAGCAACATTCCTACTATATCGCAGCAAATATTTAGGAATCTCTTGTACATATGACATGGAGAGAAATCACGCGCGCGCGCGAGAGGGTGAGAGAAGAAAGACGTGACGAGCGGTAGAAGAAACGGTGACGCGGGACGGTGGGCGCGCGATCACGTGACCGACTGACGGAGCGCGCGATTGGCCGACTAGCGTCATTTTATCCCTCCTGATCCGCTGCTAGCTTGTTCGCCGCCGCCATCGAAAGGTTTCCGTGACGGAGCGTCTGGCTCAGAGGCTCAGAATAGTTCCAGATGTGGCCATGTTTAGTTTGATCTCCGAAGTTTCGCTCACCGTCATAGACTGCTACATTTTTATACCTCTGCTGAATAGTAAATAACGCATCAGACCGATCGCGTACTCTTCGTCTTTGCTTGCGGCTACAATAATCTCAAAGTTTTTTCGCTGCATCCATATGTTGTTTATATCGCTCTTGCTGAGAGATCTAAATCTCCGAACGACGCGGGGACGCGTGCGAGAAAGAGAAGCACGCGTTCGTTGTTTGTCGTTGTCGCGTTAACTTATTGACAGAGGGAGGGTGCGTCTATCGGGAATAATCCGTGATATCCAGATCGTTTTACATCTGATTTCACGAGAATTTCTCTTTATTCACCCGCACGTTCATTGATCTCTCGGCAAGGGTCGCGCGCATTGAAACATCCGTCGCTCCCTATCTCTGTCTCTCTCTGAAAGAAAATAAACGTTCGTCGTTAAATTCGAGGAGAGGGAAACCATCGTCGTTGCCGAAGAATCGTGCGGTTAAAATCGCAAGAGTGAAAGCATCGTTATCAAGGGGAGGCTTTGGGGGGGAAGAGAGGGAGTGAAAGAGGACTCTCTCCGTCTCTCTTTCTCCCTCTCCGATCGGAGAGTCGCGTTTTCTTTTTTTTTTTTCCCCCCCCCCCCCCTCTCATTTTTCCGAAGGGGATCTCCGGGGAGTACGCATGCGCGAGCGCGTTCCCATTTTCATCGCGTCGCACTTCCGTTTCGGACACGACGAACGAGCCGCAAACGTCGCGCGCGCACACGAGGTCGCACACGCAACGACGTAACACTCAGACACACAAACGGACGGCGCGGGGGGCGGACAAACAGGCAGATAGGGTGGGTAGGTAAAAAGATAATCACTAAACGGGAGAGAGAGCGAGAGAAAGAGACGCCCACGACGAGCGTTCGTCGCCTGGGTCAGCCATATGCCACGTCAGCCAGAATGACGTCGTTCTCGCGACGGCGAGAAAAGGAGGATCGCGCGATTTGACCGAATTCCATTCTGCTTGTTGCGGGCTTTTTGGAAAAGAGAGATCGCGAGATCGCTCGCGCAAGGGAGAGATCTCGCACTATAGTGAAAATTTGTATATCCGTTGCCCTCTCGGCGAGGGAGAGAGAGAGAGAGAGGAAAAGGGGTATAAACCAGCCGAAAGTGCAAAATATTCGTATTCATTCAGTTCGGTAGGAGAAACTTTTCGGGAAAAAAAAAAAATATCCCACCGAGGACTCCAAGGTCCTTTTGTGAAATAGAAAGAGAGAGAAAAAGCCATTAAAGAACGACCGTAACAAGGGCGTAAACTGTTTTTTCGCGTTACGTAGAAAGAAAACCGTTACGGTTATTCGCGTGAAAAAACGAGAGACAGAGACAAGAGACGGAGAAAGGGAGAGAAAAGAGGAGACGTAGTCTTTCGTAGACTACGTTTCTATACGGAGAGCGTTTATTATGCTCTCTCGCAAATGCTAGCATTCATTCGAGCAGCGCGATTATTCCGCCAGAGCAAAGACCTGTCGAGTGTGGTCGGTCGAATCGATCGTATGATCGCTTGATCGCCGTCCCGGCCGATCGGGAGAGGCCGCAGTGCTGATATAGGAAAACTGACTCACTTGTTCACTTCGGGGTAACGAGAGCGAGACACGCACAGATCGTGATCGATCTGCGGAACCGAAAACGAAAATGGCAGTAGAGAGTGTTTCCGCGGCTGAGACTCTAATCCAAAGGTTTGCCTTCCTACATACTATGTACATATTACGTATCTCTTTATTCGCTACCGCCAAATGGGACGGAAAACGAGAATGGAGAATTTCGCGAGTGACTATCATCATTGACAATCGTACGACGGAGATACATATATACATATACACACACACATACATATACAAAAATTTGTTACACATAACTCTCCTCGCTCTCCCTCCACCGCATTCTTTTCTTCGTCTTGCCCCTCGACTCTCTTTCTCATCCTTCCTTCTCCCCTCTGCTCCTTCCCTGTTTCGACCGATTTCACGAGATCTGGGAACGAAAAGACCATTCTTTCGATTTCGACGCGCGTTTCTCTTTCCGAACGCTTTTTGTAATTTCGTAGCTTTTTCATCTGGGTTTAAGAGAGATGGGATATATAGTTCTTTTCGTGCATTTTATTTTCTCTCATGGCATTAGCGAGTCGACTTCGATTTCCAAGCAAGAGAATGAGATGGACAGGAGTCAAGGCCGTTCTCTCTTATGACGTCGCGATTATTTCCACAAGTCGATTCCGCGGGAATCCCGGCGGATTATTTTCAGAATTGGATCGCGGATGCAGTTTTGGCGAGGGAGAAAGAAACAGGTGGGCGAGTCGCATCATTGCGCGCGCACAACTCTTTCCTCTTTTTTTT